TACCCCTCAGGATGAGTCTAGAGAGGACACCAGTGATTCTGAATCTAATCCTTCCTCTGTTGTTGCCTTACTGGGTGGCCCGGCATCAGCTATAAAGTCAGGTAACTTTGCCTACTCTGGGGCTAATTAGCCAGCCTGGGGATGACTCAGTTCTTCCTCTGCTTCTTCCTCCTCCTCCTCCTAAAGAGCCTGTTCAATTAGGACTTGTATTCAACTGCTGGTTAGCAGAAGCCTGGAAAACACTGGCTCGAATGTATTTTTTAGCTTCTGCAAAAGAAAGCCAGAAGTTGGCAATCTTCAGGGGCCCAGATTCCTTTGGCTTTCCAGCTGACCACCCATTCGTAGGGTATGGCCCTATTCCCCCTTCTCTCAAGATGACTGCTGAAGCTTGTCATCCTATCTCCATTTCAGGCATAAATTGAGGAAGAGCAAAAAACTACAAGGGTGTCTGCCAGCTGAGTCCAGAGAGTACCACGGAATGACACATGCATACATCTCATTGGCTAGAAGTGTGTCCCATGACCATCCAAGCCTCGAGTGAAGCTAGGAAACATAAGAGATTCCATCACAAAGTCCCAGTGTCAGGAACTCAGACTTTTTATCCCATTCCCTTGCACAGGGAAATATAGGGTTCTCCCTCACAGTGCAGAAGGGGGCCAACTCTTGCTCCCAGGCAGACACTCGCAGGCTCAGTGGATACACAGTTTGTGGGTCAGAGGGTCGAGTGTGCCCACACCCGACTGTGTCCAAGTCCTCAGTCCTGATGCCTGAGAGTGGACTTGTCAAGCCAGAGGTTGAGCAGTGATTTTTTTCCCTTCAACTCAAGCCACAGGCACTATGCTCCCTCTCAGGACACCAATGTCCCCGTGGAGGAGAACTCACCCAAACAATGCACTTTGGGGTGGCAGCTATGTTTTCAGAGGGAGAAAGCAGACAAGAAGAGAAATTTGACACCTCAGTTGCCCATCTCTTCTAAATAAAATGTGAGCTTATTTTTATTATGAAAGTAAATAGAAGATACAGAGTAAAACACTCCCATGTACAGAAGAGGGTGAGTAAAATTCTCATTCCTTCTGGCTCCTGCCTGTGTCCTCAGTCCCATGGCCCAGAGGTTACACCTTGGTAGTTTCCATGGCCAGTTTCTAAATGTTTTCTTTGCATTTATGTATATATGCGCATTGTTTAAAAAACAGAAATGGGATCACACTTTACATGCTCACCTACAGTTTGATTTTTCCATATAGTTTCTTGGTGCTTGTGCCATATTACCACCCGTAGAACCCCCTCATTTTGTTGTATGGCTATGTGGTATGAAGATACCAGAATTTATTTATCCAGTCACCAGCTGAAAAACACTGTGGTCTTTTCAGGCTTTTTGCTACCAAAATCATTGTTGTAATACTCCAACCCTTTTGTCAGGATTCCTGTCTCGTGACAGGAATTATTATCTGGGCATTGAATCTGGCAGGTTGGGGAGGAAGAGCTTTGCTGCCTCTGGGAAGACTAGACCTATGGTCCCTGGGTCCTCTGAGGAGAGCCTCAACCCATGGTTTTCCCCTTTTCCCCAGGAAACTCCTACCTACTGATTCCACTCCAAGGGCAGGGCAGGGCTGACACACGTGGGCGGCTGGGCAGGCTAGTAATCTGGTGCTCTGGGAAAATAAATAATATTGGGGCTCCTTCAACTGATATTTGAAAAAATACTTGTTCAGCTCTTATTTGGAGGCAAGGCTGAGTGCTGAGGAGAGAAGAAGGTGGCCTGGTGGTGGCAGTTCTCACTGTCCTCTTGGTCACAAGAAGAAGGAACCCACTCTGGAGCAATCCTTCTTGGAAGGGATTTCAGGGACTACTTGTGTACCGCTCTGGGCGTCTCCTCCTTCCACCTCCCAAACTCCATCCAAAGCCCTTGATTCTTTCTGACCATAAAACAATACTCATCCCCAGAGAAGTTCTGGAAGTTGCCATTTTCTCCAGTTCCAATGTCATTTCCAGTTAATTTTATCCCCACAACAATGCCGTTGAGCTCCCCAGTGATGTTGCAATGCCCCTTAGAGCTGAGGCCTAGTGGCTCCATCCCTTAATTTGGCTCAGCTGTGGACCCCTGGAATTTCCCCTGCCTCAGCTGTGGACCCCTGGAATTTCCCCTGCCTCCAAGACCAAGGCCAGTCTCTTTTTTTTTTTAATTTTTATTTTATTTTATTTATTTGACAGAGAGAGATCACACGTAGGCAGAGAGGCAGGCAGAGAGAGGAGGAAGCAGGCTCACTGCTGAGCAGAAAGCCCGATGCGGGGCTCGATTCCAGGACCCTGAGATCATGACCTAAGCCGAAGGCAGAGGCTTAACCCACTGAGCCACCCAGGTGCCCCAAGGCCAGTCTCTTCAAAAGGGGCTTTATTGCTATAGGTTTGCCCATGGCCTGTGACCATATTAGGCAGTCTGGAGTAGGCTGGATGCCCCAGCTGGTTAGAACAAGGAAGTAATAATGACCTTGTGAATAAATCACTTTTCTTCTTTTAATAATTTTTTAATTTTTTTATAAACATATAATATATTGTCAGCCCCAGGGGTACAGGTCTGTGAATCGCCAGGTTTACACACTTCACAGCACTCACCATAGCACATACCCTCCCCAATGTCTATAACCCCACCACCCTCTCCCTATCTCCTCCCCCCGGCCACCCTCAGTTTGTTTTGTGAGATTAAGAGTCTCTTATGGTTTGTCTCCCTCCTGATCCCATCTTGTTTCATTTATTCTTTTCCTATCCCCCAAACCCCCCACATTGCATCTCCACTTCCTCATATCAGGGATATCATATGATAGTTGTCTTTCTCCGATTGACTTAAGAAATCACTTTTCAATTTAATTTTAAAACCTGTTTTAAAACCTGTTCTGTTTAAATGCTTCTCTCTTAAATTTTGTCATTCTATAAGCTTCGGTTTATAAATTATTAAAAGGGAAGGTGGCTGCAAGCCCTGTTTGTCAGCAGGTCCCTGAGAGCAAGAGGAGAGCCTTTGGAAGGTCCAGCAAACTGAATATCATAAGATGACCATTTGGATTTCAGAGATGATCCCTGGATACTCTCTGGTGTCCACAAACTCTGCCCTGGACCCAGCCATCATCGGATATAATGCCTTGTGTATTTCGGTTACAAAGGAGACCTTACAAATGAGCATGAGGAGCTCATCCCATCACTATTGCTGTTATGATAGAACAACTTGAAGTATGTTCTGCCAGTAGTGATAGTATTAGATCATCTAGCTGTAGACAAGGCCACACCCAAAGACCCCAGACTATCGTGTTAACTGGCTGCCTGTGCAGAGCAAAGAGAGTAACGATGTATCAAGTATGCCTAGAACCCCACATCCACAGTAGACATCCTGAGTGGTTCCTTCTTGCCCCTGACTGAACTCAACCTTGACTTTTTTTTTTTTCCCCCTAAAAATTGGTTGACCAGTTGGTTGGTCACTACCAACCAATCAGATCTAGTGCAAAAGTTAAAACCTATTTGCCATCCTGGGCCTAGAGAATATTCAAAATCAAGTGTGGCAACAAACACTTTTCTGTAAATGTAGTTTGCCAAATTATCCCAGCTTTCACTTGCCAATCTGAGGACAAATTCGAGGCTTTTTCTTTTTCTTTATTCCAAAGTCACTAAGCACCAATATGTCCAGGCACTTACTCAGCACTACAATAAAAAAAGATATTTGAAAGATTTGTCTTCAATTAGCTCACAAACCAGAGATGTACATATCTTACTGTGACACGTCTTGGCAAGTGTGTTATTAGTGCTTGAACTGTGTGTGTACAGAAGGAGAAAGAAGAGTTTGAACTGACCTGGAAGGGTTCTTGGCAGGTAGAGAATGAGGGATACCACCCAGATGTAGGAAAAGAATGTGTGCAAGTCTTGGAATGCTAAAAAGACATGGTGCATCCTGGGAAGACTGAGCATGAGTTCTGGTGGAAGGGTGAGGCCATGGGAGGTAGGCAAAGAGGAAATGAGCCTGGAAAGATGCTCCAAAGCTGGGCTGGATGCACCAAAGGAGATCACTCCTGCTTTGACTTGAGCTACAGGATCCCTGTCCCCTTGTTGACCCAAGCACCCTCTCCTCCATCTGCCTGCACTTCTGTTTTCTGCTCCATGGTGGGCTGCATGCCTGGCCACTTGACACGCTGCTCTCTGGCTCCATCATCCTCGGAAGTCTGCAGGGTGGGCAAAGCTTCCATTCATACTAGAGACTGCTGGGGAGCCTTGTAGTAGGAACTGCTTAGGAGCTTGTATCTGAGTCGCTGGCATACAGGCATTGGATGATCTCGTTGAGGAAAAGAGGATGAAGCCCTGAAAATATCTTGTCTTTGGCTTTTTGATCTATAGTGCTTTCCCCAAACTTCATGAAGCAAACATAAATCCATTAGTCAATACAGAGCCTCTCAGACCTCTCTGTGAGACTCCACCAAAGATCTGTGACCTCAGACCTCAGAGACATGTGTGACTCCACCAACTCAACTGGCACTTAATCATGTATTGCTGAATGTCATTACTTAATTTTCCCATTAGGTCATAAACTCTTTTGTATCCCTGTATAGCACATAGCAAAGTGCTGGGAACATGGTAAACACACACTAAGGGTTTGTTAAGTGAAAAAGTGAAGGGGGAACATGTTGAATGAAAAAGGGTTTGTTAAGTGAAAAAGTGAAGGGGAACATGTTGCCCCTGAAAAGGGGCAAATGGACAGCCAGACTTTAAAGTATTCTGTTTAGTTGTAGTTTGGTCGTGGATACCATTTGTGACTCTTGTTTTGTCATTTAACTCTCTTAGCCTCAGTTTCCTTACCAGTAAATTGAAGATATTCTTACCAGCTCTACACAGGTTACAGGGTTATGTCCAACACCAAATAAGAAATCATAGTAAAGCAAGTACTTTATGATCTGTTAAGGTAAACTATTAGGATTTTCTCTTAATGTCATATAATCATAAAATATTTTCCTTCTTACTTTTAGACTTGCAACCTTATTTCTTGAAAGAGGGCCAAACAGGATAGGTGGTCTTTACAAAAAGGCTGTTTACAGACATTACACAGATGAGACCTATTCCACGGAGATCCCCAAACCTCCCTGGCTTGGATTCCTGGGCCCTATCTTGAGGGCTGAAGTGGGTGATGTGATTGTCATCCATTTAAAGAACTTTGCTTCCCGACCATACTCTTTGCATCCACATGGCGTTTTCTACAACAAAGATTCAGAAGGTAAATATCAATCCTGTATTATTGGTGTCTTGTGTCTATTTCATAAGGAAGGCAATTGTCAGTTAAAGGGATCGAAGAGACAGTGATGACACGTGTCGATTTGTCTTTTCCCCATCTCCTTCTCTCCCATCTCCATCTGCTCCTCCTGATAGAGAAAACTTCAAAAACACTATCAACCAACTTGACCTAATTGACATCTACAGAACGTTCTGTTCAATGACTAAAGAATATATCTTCTTTTTGAGAGGTGTATTTCAAGAGGGTATATGAAAACTCCTCAGGATAGACAGTAGGCTGTGCATAAAATGAATCTAAATAAATTTAGGTTGCAAGGTGTATTCTCCAATAACAATGGAATTCAATTTGATATAACCAATGAAAGAAATCTTGCAAATTCTTCCAAACATTTGGAAATACACAGTATACTTCTAAATAACCCATAGGTAAAAGAAATCACTAGATAAATTGTAATTATAAATTGAATTGAATAAACATGGAGATAAAACATAACCAAAATTTATGGTAATAGCTAAGAAGTACTTAAAAGGAAATTTCGAGCTTTAGACACTTATGTCAAGAGAGAAGAAAAGTCTCAAATCAATAACATTAGCTTCCACCTTAAGAAACTAGAAAACAAAGAGGAAACAAAATCTAAAGAAAGCAGAAAGAAGGAAATAATAAGGACTGGAGCAGAAATTCAAAGGAGAAAACAGAAAAATAATATAAAATTGATTAAGCCAGAAGTTGGCTCTTTGAAAAAGATTAACAAAATTGAGAAAGTTTATCTAGTCTGATGAAGACAGAGGGCACAAATTACCAAAATCAGGAATGGGAGATGAAACATCACTTTGACCATACAAAAATTAAAAAGATTATGAGGGAGGATTATAAGCAGTTTTATGCCAAAATATGAGACAACTTAAATGAAACTGACAAATTCTTAGACAAAAATTACCCAAATTGACTTAAGAACAAATAAAAATTTGAATAGACCTATAAAATGTAAAGAAATGGAAATAGCAATTAAAAATCTTCCCTCAAAGAAAAACCCAAGCTCAGATGGTTTCATTTATAAATTCTATCAACTACTAAAATAACAATAATGCCAATTCTTAACAAAATCTTTTAGGAAATAGAGGAATACTTCCAAATTCATCCTATGAGGAAAACATCATCTTGATACCAAAGCCAGATAAAGACATCACAAGAAAACTACTGACCAATATTCCTCACGAATGTAGACACAAAAATTCTTAACAAAATATTAGCATATTAAAATATGTTGACTTCAGCAACATATAAGGAGAATTATACATCATGACCAAATGGAATTTATCCTATGATTGGAAGGTTAGTTTAACACTCCAAAGCAAATGAATGTTGGGGAACCTGGGTAGCTCAGTCCGTTAAGTATCTGACTCCTGATTTTGGCAGGTCATGATCTCAGGGTTGTCTGATAGAGCCCTGGGTCAGGCTGTATGTTGAAGGTGGAACCTGCTTAAGATTCTCTCTTCCTCTCCCTTTGCCCCTCCCCCAACCCCATTCATGCACTCATGCTCTCTCTCTAAAAAAAAAATTTAAGAAAAAAATAAATGAATGTAATACAACATATTAATAGAATAAAAGACAGAAACCACATGATCATCTCAAGAGGTACGGAAAGGCATTTAACAGGATCTAGTACTTATAAATTAAAAATTTCTAACAAACTAGAAATAGACAGGTACTTCCTCATCCTGATAAAAGTTATTTAAGAAAAACCCACAGCTAACATCATGCTTCATGGAAGGGAGACCGAATAAAAGTCTTCATAAGATTGGGAATAAGGCAAAAATGTCTGCTCTCACTGCTATTATGAAATATTGTTCTGAAGATTCTACCCAATGCTGGACAGGTCTGCTAGCAGTAAACTCAGTCTTTGTTTATAGAACATCTTTACTTTACCATCCTTTTTTGAGGGGTAGTTTGCTGGATATGGTATTCTCCATTTGCATCGCTCCCCAGCCCTAGCACATTGAGTATGTCATCCCGCTGTCTTTTTGTCTCCAGTATTCAGATGGGACGTCAACTGTTAATCATGTCAATACTCCCGTGTACGTGATGAGTCATTTTTCTCTCACTTCCAGTATTACCTCTTTGATGTTTTTTCCTAACAATTTGACAACAATGTGTCTATGTATAGGTTCTTTGTATTTATCCTACTTGTGGTTCATTATGCTTCTTTAATGTGTAGATTAGTGTTTTTGACCAAATTGAATAATTTTGGGTCATTATTTTTACATTTTTTTTCTGTCCCTTTTTCTTTCTTTTTCCCTTTGGCAGGCTATTATTACACATGTTAATATACCTGGTGTTGACCCACAGGCCTCTGAGGTTCTGCTTATTTTCTTTGATGTTTTATTTCTTTGATCTTCCTGCCCCCTCTTTTTCAGATAGGATAATTCTACTATATTCAAGTTCACTGATTCTTTTGCCATCTTGAATCTGTTGTTAAGACCCTCTAGTGAATGCTTTAAATAATTCATTGTACTTTTCAATGCCAAAACTCCAACTTTGTTCTTTTAATAATTTCTACCTCCTTGTTGAGATTTTTCGATTTGTTGAATCATGATGTCCTACTTTTCTTTAATTATTTAAACATGGTTTCTGTTAATGGCTTGAACATTTTTCTAATAGCTACTTTAAAGTTTGTATCTGCTCAATTTTACATCTGGAGACACTTAGAGATAATTTCTATTGGCTGCTTTTTTTTTTCTCTGAGACTAGGTCACACATTCTTATTTCTTTGTATGTCTCATTTTGTTGTTCTTGTTGGAAACTGGAAATTTTTGAGCATATATTGGAGCAACTCTGGATTCAAATCCTTCCCTCATCTAAGGTTATTTTTGCTATTGGTTTGTTTTTTTGTTTAGTAACTTACCTGGGCTAAATCCATGAAATCTGTCTTCCCTATAATGTGTGGCCACCAAGGTTTCTGTTTTTTCTTTCTTTCTTTCCTTTTCTTTTCCTTTTTTTTTTTTTTTTTAAGATTTCATTTATTTATTTATTTGATAGAGAGAGACACAGTGAGAGAGGAAACACAAGAAGGGGGAGTGGGAAAGGGAGAAGCAGATTTCCTGCTGATCAGGGAGCCCAATGTGGGGCTTGATCCCAGGACCCTGGGATCATGATCCGAGCTGAAGGCAGATGCTTAATGACTGAGCCACCCAGGCACCCCTGTCTTTCTGTCTTTTTTCTCGTATTCATTTTTAAGGCTGGCTTCTAAGGGGTCACCTCTAAATCTGCTTAGCTTTGAAGTCGGCAGATGCTGGGACAGAGATGTACTTAAGCATCAGTAAGTCCTCAGTTCTCTGCAGCTGGAATTGTGGGTGGATAGAGAACACATTCAGAGTTTTGGTGGTTTTTGTCTGCCTTGGATCTTAGGGTTGTTTTTTATTTTTTGGTTTTTTTTTTTTTTAATTGTGTTAGTCACCATACAGTACATGACTAGTTTTTGGTGTAGTGTTCCATGATTCATTGTCTGCGTATAACACCTAGTGCTCCATCCCATCCATGCCCTCCTTAATCCCCATCACTGGGCTCACCCATTCTTCCATTCCCCTCCCCTCTAAAACCCGTAGTTTGTTTCCCGGAGTCCATAGCCTCTCATGGTTCCTCGGATTTTAGTTTTTGCTGGGCCCTTTGCTTCTCCTCTTTGCAAGCACACAGCATTAGAGTCAGCTGGGAGTAGGTAAATAACTGACGTTCAGCAGTTGTTCAAGCATAAACATTGCTGGATGCCTTTATTTGATTCCGCAGCAATGAAATGGTTGTTTTTCTCAATTTCGTTCCACTTTACATTACTTTTGGAGGAGAGGATTTGCTGACTTCCTCACTCTCTATCTCTCTCTTTTTTTTAAGGTTTTATTTATTTATTTGACAGAGAGAGCAAGAGAGATAGCACAAGCAGGGAGAGTGGCAGGCAGAGGGAGAGGTAGAAGAAGGCTCCCCTGTTGAGCAGGGAGCCCGATGCAGGACTTGACCCCAGAACCCTGCTCAACCAACTGAGCCACCCAGGCACCCACCTCCTCACTCTCTTTTGATGAGTTTTTCTCTTGGCTACCATTGCAAGCTTGCTAGTCTGAAAGTCCCTGCTTAGTTCAATTTAGTGTTTACTGTGCACTAGACCCAATGCTGGATACTGGGGCTGCAAAAATGAATAAATACATAGTTGTTCCTTCCAAGTTCATCTGGGGAGTGCTGGAGAATGAACCCAGTAGTCAGTGGGTGGGATTAACATTGATTAAGCAGTTCCTAGTATGCCAATGCCTATTCTAGAACTCTTACATACAATGTCTCACTTATTTTTATTTTAAGATTTTATTTATTTATTTGACACACAGAGATCACAAGTAGGCAGAGAGGCAGGCAGAGAGAGAGGGAGGAAGCAGGCTCCCTGCTAAGCAGATAGCCCGATGTGGTACTCGATCCCAGGACCCTGGGATCAGGACCTGAGCCGAAGGCAGAGGCCCAACCCACTGAGCCACCCAGGCAACCATACAATGTCTCACTTATTAATGGAATTAGCTAGTGCTTTCTTGATCTCCATATGAAATACAGTTAAGTATTAGGACTACTTAAAAATAAATGTTATCGCTTTTTAATTTCAGAAAAACATAAAGAAGGGGTAAATATCTCACATTCTCATTTCCTACTTAAAATAAGCCTAAAACAAAAGATTAAACAAGAAGTAGTATATGAACATGGTTAGAAAATTTTAGGGGTGCCTGGGTGGGTCAGTTGGTTGAGCATCTGCCTTCGGCTCTGGTCATGATCCCACGGTCCTGGGATCAAGTCCTGTATCAGGCTCCCTGCTTAGTGGGAAGCCTACTTCTTCCTCTCCCTCTCTCTCTCCCTGCTGCTCCTCCTTCTTGTGCTCTCTCTGTATGTCAAATATATAAAATCTTAAAAGAGAAGAAAATTTTGTGAGTACAGAGAAGTATAATAAGAAAAGTAAAAATTCTTACTTGGCTCTTATCTGAAAAACAATCACCTTTAAAAATGTCTTCATCTTGGAGATTTTCTCATATAACACACATAGAAAGACCTCCTTTTAAGTTATGCAATATCACATTGTATGAATATATCAGTCTGGTACATTGATGATTATTGATGACTGATGATGATTATTTAGGTTGCTTTCAGTTTGGGGTTGATACTGCCAATTCTACAACAAATACACCAGTTCATGTATTTTGAAAACCATTTTCAAAGATGTTTCTGGAGTAAATTCTTAAAAATAAAATTGCTGGTTATATTCAAATACTCTTTCTTCTTTCTTTCAAAACAAATCGGCAAGTTGTCCTCCAAAAAATTGCACACTGTCCCGCACTTGTTTGTGAGCTGGTCTGTCTCTCCTACAACTTCACCAATCCTCAATATTCTCAAACTTGATGGGGTGAAAATGTGTATATTTGAATTTCTAAAAACCCACACATTCTAGAATACATAAAATGAAATGAATGTTTTAAAAATATTCTTATATTGTTTATGTTATATTGCTCAAAACCTTTGACAAATCAAAATTCCATTGACAAATCAAATAAAAATTTGATTTTGATTTGACAAATCAAAATTCCTTCCTGGGAATAACTTACAGAACAACTTAATAAGCTATCCCACCCTGAATCGCTTTTTACTTTATATTCACGGTATCTTTTGGATTCCAAATGATCTTCCTCATCTTGAGTGGTGATACCAAGGATTTGTTTGGGGACTCCAGCCTTTCCATAATACCTTTCAGTAATAGCCATCAATACTTCCCAATAATAAAGAGCAAAAAGAAAGCAAATAAATAAATTGTGCAAAAAAGAGTCTCAAGAAAAATTATTACTCGTATTGATTTGTATCATATAATCAAAGCAAAATGAGTGATCTCAGTTGAAGCCTCTAGACAAGTCCACTATCCACCCCCCCCCCCAGCTACTGACCCTCAGTCTCTCCATATATAAATTCAGAAGCTGCAAAGCTATGCATTTTATTCACAAGGCTTTGGTTTATGGTGTAGAGTCATGCCACTCATTCATTATTTTACTCAATAGATATGTACTGAGCACCCACTGTACTAAGCACTGAGGTAGACCTTGCATACAAAATTATGAACAAAAAACCCTGGGTGTTTTTTTTTTTTGTGGAATTGTAGTCTAAATTGAGAGACAGACATTAATTAAACAATTATACACACAATATTATACATATATAATTAAAACCTTGGGCAAGTGCTATGAATGAAAAAGTGATTTATTGAAATCTTATTATATGCCAGGTGCTGTGATAAATGTATTGTAGATCTTCTGTCATGTAAGCCTCAACAACTCTGAGATAGGTCTGATAACTACCACCCTTTTCCAGATAAGAACCCAAGGCTCCTAGAAGAGAAGGAAATTGCCCAAGTTATAGCTAACAAGAGATGGAGATAGGATTTGATTCCACTAGTCTAACTTCAATAGCTCTGAACTTAACCATTCGTTATACTGCCTTTCTCTCTGTATGAATGTATTTTAGAAAACTGACCTAGTTCAGGGAGTTCGGGATTGCGGGTTTGTGAATGGGTGGTGAATAAGTGAAAGAATGGAGAATGAACTTGGGTGTGTCCACATCCATCTCCTCGGCACCTCACCCCACAGCCTTCTCCCCAGTGCCATCCAGCTCCTCCCAGTCCTTCCCCGCCCCTACCTTCTATCCAGGTGGTTATCAAACTAGTTTTAGCAGTGGACTTTCCTTAATTGAAAACCCTTGTGCAATCTTAGTTTACAAAACAGAGAAAGGGAATGCCATGCCTATGCACCCCTACCCACTCTGTGGTAGACCACCCCTCCACCTAGCAAAACCCCAAATAGTGTTCAACACATCACCCTATTTTACTCTCCACTTGTCCCATGTGCTAATAATTCCTATTCTGGGGGCACCTGGGTGGCTCAGTGGGTTAAGCCTCTGCCTTCAGCTCAGGTCATGATCCCAGGGTCCTGGGATCAAGCCCCTCATTGAGCTCTCTGCTCAGTGGGGAGCCCGCTTCCTCCTCTCTCTCTGCCTGCCTCTCTGCCTACTTGTGATCTCGCTCTCTGTCAAATAAATAAAAGTTTTAAAAAATAATAATAATAATTCCTATTCTGATCAGCTCAACAGAACGGAGGATGAATGTCTTACTCTTCCTTCCTATCTTTCGTGAGAACTCAAACAGGTGCTGAATCAGTAACAAGTACCCAATAATTTCATTATTTCTTCTTATTTATTATTTATTATTAGAGAGAGAGCACAATTGAGGGAAGGGGCAGAGGGATAGAGAGAGAAGAAGACTCTCCACTGAGCAGGGAGCCTAAAGCAGGACTTGATCCCAAGACCCCAAGATCATGATCTGAGCCAAAGTCAGATATTTAACTGATTGAGCCATCTAGGCACCCCTCTCCTTTCCCTTTTGAGTTGATGTTAAGTGAGGTGGATTCAAATCTTCCTGATTGGCACAAGAGGCCCATCCGAAGGGGTCCTTATGAACATTTATTAAGCATCTGGTTTTGTGCAAGACACTTGATACACATCATGTCAGTTAGTTCTCAGGTCCTTGTGGGGTAGGTATCAACATTCTAGCTTCACTGAAGAAAACCAAGGTATTGAGAATTTAAGTATCTTGCCCCAATCCCACAGGAAATAAATTTAAATTTATTTGATTTAAAATGTAATTAATTTATTTGATTTAAATTTATTTGATTTTAAATTATTTGATTCCAAAGCTCAGTGAGCCCTGCTCCCTGTAGCAAGTGATCTCTGTAGGTTAACTATGTTTTATCTTTTCTCGGAAGGAGCCCTATACCCAGATGGAACTTCTGGAAGAAATAAGAATGATGATATGGTTCCTCCTGGCAGAAACTACACCTATGTCTGGCCAGTGAGAGAAGAATATGCCCCTGCTCCAGCGGATGCCAACTGTCTGACCTGGGTGTACCATTCACACATTGATGCTCCTAAGGACATCTGCTCTGGGTTAATTGGCCCGCTCCTGGTGTGCAAGGAAGGTAAGGAGCTCCTCCACCCCCAACACACACACACACACACACACACACACACACACACACACACAGAAGCCTATTCCCAAATGTGTTTTGCCTCCCTTCCTTGCTCCATTCAAAGGTACCTTTTCTTCCACGCTTTCTGTAAGATTAGGGAGATACTTCTAACATAGAAGGTTAGATTCTTCTAACAGAAGGGGCAGTAATTCAGACTTCTGTCAAGGAAACATCATAGCATTCTGGAACTTAAATGCTTTAAGGAAGAAAGCAAACCAGGGACATACCATGGCCATTCATGCCAGCCCAACACTACACACAGGAAAGTGAGGAATGTAGCCAAATGGCTAGATTTGGTTTTGCATTGATATTTCACATGCATGATCACTTTGTGATTTTGTTCCCCATTAATTGCCTTAGCGTGTCTGTGCTCTGTCAGTAATACTGGCTCCCTCCTGGAGCAAAGTTTTCAAGTCTCTGGTTGTGAGGGCTTCTGTTTTATGACTTTTCTCTTCTATGATTCTGTCATTTCTATTAAAATCCTTTGCTGCTTTCATGTTGTGGTCACTCTTGTTACTATAAGTCTTTGGCCAACTTCAAACTTACCTGATACCATTGGTAAAAGGCAAAAATCATCTTGACTTAATTCACTTTGAACTTTTTTCTCCACTTTTTTGGATGTCTCCCCTGGATAGGTGTCCTGAATAAATATTCAGGGGCAAGGACAGATGTGGACCGAGAGTTCATTATAATGTTTACTCTGGTGGATGAGAATCAAAGCTGGTACCTTGATGAAAATATCAGACATTTCTGCACCAACCCTGATTCAGTTGACAAAAAAGATGCTGTTTTCCAGAGAAGTAACAAAATGCATGGTGAGTGTCTCCAGTATTATCAAATATATACTGAATGCTTTTTGTGGATCTGATACTATGAGGGATGAAGAAACACAGAAAGTCTAACCTGGTTTTCTAGGATTGATAACTTGTGATAAGAATGGTTAGGAAGTGATAAAACACAGTCCATGTGAGAACATAAAACAATTTGAGAAGAGATGAGGCAATAGATATCCCCTGAATTGAGTATGACAAGCTATGGTATGGAAAATGGAAGGGTTAGTTATAATCAGGAAAGAATCAGGAGGTGATCCTAGAGAGGATGGGTAGGTTTATGTAGACAGGAGAAAGGAAAATGAATCACCATCATGTAACAATTCTGTGGTTTGCAACCTTTTGCATTATTCCAGTAACCATTTCCTGAGTGATTGCTAAATTTCAAAAATGTATGCTGTGTTTAAATACATACTTGTGAATTTGTTATATTTCCCAGCCATTCTGGTTTTTTTAAGTTTTTTTTTTTTGAGAGAGAGAAAGAGAGAATCTTTTTTTCTTTTTTTAAGGTTTTATTTATTTATTTGTTAGAGAGAGAGAGAGAGAGCACACAAGCAGACAGAAGCAGAGAGAGAAACCAACTCCCTGCTGAGCAAGGAGCCCCATGTGGGACTCAATCCCAGGATCCTGGGATCATGACCCGAGCTGAAGGCAGCGGCTTAACCAACTGAGCCACCCAGGTGTCCGGAGAGAGAGAATCTTAAGCAGACACCACACCCAGCATGGAGCCCAACACAGCTCAATCTCATGACCCTGAGACAATGATCTGAGCTAAACCAACAGTTTGATGCTGAACCGACTGAGCTCCAGGTATCCCTCCTAGACAATCTTTAAATCAACATTTATTGAGCATTCACTATGTGCCAGACCCCATATTTGAAAATAGTGAATTTCTATAGTTATCCTCTCCATCAAGACAGACTACTTACTCACATCTGTTTTGCAGAAGAGTGGCTTAATACAGAATTTTAGGATGTGGGGATTATTAACTAGTCTCATTCTTCTGTTTTCCCATAGAGTTCTAATGAACATAAAGAACATCTTCAACATAAACAAACACCCCATGTCATTCACTGATAAATTTCCTCCATATTTGCTTCTCTATCTCCCAGAACCCACCCTAACCAAAATTTAGTTATAAAATTATAAGAGAGAGGGAAGGAGCTGAAGATCATCTGATCTCCCCCATTTTACAGATGAAGAAACTGAAGTCAAGAGACCATCAATGATTTGGGGCGCCTGGGTGGCTCAGTGGGTTAAAGTCTCTGCCTTTGGCTCAGGTCATGATCCCAGAGTCTTGGGATCAAGCCCCACATCGGGCTCTCTGCTCAGCAGGGAGCCTGCTTCCTGCCCCTCTCTCTGCCTGCCTCTCTGCCTGCTTGTCATCTCTGTCTGTCAAATAAATAAATAAAATCTTAAAAAAAAAATGAGAGAGACCATCAATGACTTGCTTAAGGTCAAAGTGATAATTAGGGCCAGAGTTGCTTACGAGAAGCTCAGAAACAACTCCTTCAAGGAGGACCCCATAGCAAATAAATGTTAATTTGGTTGTGTTTGATTCCAAAGTGCGTCAAGGTGTAAGCGTCAGTAGCTGACGATTTCTATGGCATCGCACACCCTCTCTCTTCTTTCTAGTGGTATTTCAGCAACCTTGTGTGAGGGGAGTATTTTAGTGTTTGGACAATATTTTAGGAGGGAAGAAGTAAAGGAGAAAAGGGAGGGAGGCAGGGAAGGAAGTGAAGGATGGAATAAAGAAAGACCTAAATTCTTTTTTTTTTTTTTTTTTTTTAGAAAGACCTAAATTCTAAACATTGCTGTATCCGATCAACTTTTATCCACATGCTTTATAAAATGGTGGCAATGATCTCAAATCTTGCTGAAAACTACTGTGATGGTTTACAACTCAGCTGCCCACAGAATTCCTCTCACTCTTTCAAATGAAAATGTCCAACACAAAGGAATCAATTACATAAAGCAAATACAGCCTATATTTAAAATAAAAATCAGCCTGGGGGTGCCTGGCTGGCTTACTTGTAGATCATGGGACTCTTGATCTCAGGATTTTAAGTTTGAGCCCCACACTGGGTATAACGATGACTTAAAAATAAACTCTTAAAAAAATAAAAAATAAGGGCATCTGGGTAGCTCAGTTGTTTAAGCATCCAACTCTTGGTTTCAGCTCAGGTCATCATCTTGTGGTTGTGGGATCAAGCCCCTTGTCATTCCACACTCAACTCGGAGTCTGCTGGATATTGTCTCTCATGCACTCTTTCTAAGATGGATAAATAAATACAATTTTAAAAAAATAAATAAATAAAAATAAAAATCAGCCTTATGCAGAAGTAGATGTTTGCAAACAATCAATCTTGCATATGTTGCATGGGGCACTGGGTGTGGTGCATAAACAATGAATTCTGGAACGCTGAAAAGAAATTAAAAACAAAACAAAACAGGGGCGCCTGGGTGGCTCAGTGGGTTAAAGTCTCTGCCTTTGGCTCGGGTCATGATCCCAGGGTCCTGGGATCGAGCCCCGCATCGGGCTCTCTGCTCAGCGGGGAGCCTGCTCCCCCACCCCCGCCTGCTTCTCTGCCTACTTGTGATCTCTGTCTGTCAAATAAATAAATAAAATCTTTAAAAACAAAACAAAACAAAAAGCCAATCTTCTTTATCAATCTAATAGTAAAAGAGACCTAATCAAGAATAGAACATAAACTTTAAAAAATAAAAAACAACAAAAACTAGTCCATAGAAGATGCTCAATCAATATAAGATTTATTGATAATTTTATTTAAATTTACTAAAATTATTTAGGATCAATTGTGCTGCCTTAATCATTGTTATCTTAGTAACAATTGCTTTTTCACTCAGTTTGAATCTAAGAAGCGATATTATGACTCTTGGTGGGTACTAAGGAGGGCACATATTACATGGAGCACTGGGTGTGGTGCATAAACAATGAATCTTGGAACACTGAAAAAAAATAAAATAAAATTACAACCCCCCCCCAAACCAAAAAAACAAAAAACCAACTCTGAATCAAGTTTTCTTCTGCACTTGGTCAAGTCCTGGCTGCTGTTCAGATGATTCAAAAGATGAGGTCTCAGACTTCCAGCCTAAGTTGAATCAATTAAATGTTGACCCAGCAAGACCTAATAACAACTGGTTTTTCTCCCTGCTTTCCTTCTTCCTGCTCACTTTGGTTACTTAAATTAAGTAGCTCCTATGTGCCTGCTTTTCTGCTGGGTCCTGACAGCTGGGGAATGAGTGACACAGGATTTCTAATGTCAGGGAACAGAGTCCTGTAGGGAAGTCAGGTATGAAAATGAAGGATCCTTAGAGGAAGTGGCTGAGCCATCCTGAAAGTCTGAGCAGTGTTCTGTTCACTTCTGACCTCATTATTGTGTTCACACAGCAGCTCCAAGGCTGTTTTTCCTGCGTGCTCATCTCTACTTTTATTGAGTGCTTTTCTCTCAAAAAACCCAGTACCTTTCATTCCTTTCTGGGACCATAGCTTATGAAAGGAGCCATGCTTTTCTGCACAAAAACATTACAACTGACGATCGGGGCTAATTTTTCAGCCATGTTAGAGTATGTGTTACCGCCTCTACAGGGGAGACTCTTCCACCAGTGTGTTTCTGTTTTTCAGCCCTCAATGGATACCTCTTTGGAAACCTCCCAGAGCCTGAGATGTGTGTTGGTGAATCAGTGTCCTGGCACCTCTATGGGATGGGGAACGAGATAGACATCCATTCCATCTATTTTTATGGCAACACATTCATCAGCAGAGGGCATCGGACTGATGTCGTCAACCTGTTCCCAGCCACCTTCCTGACAATGGAAATGGTAGTTGAGAATCCTGGGAAGTGGATGATAACTTGCCAAGTTAGTGATCACCTACAAGGTAAAAAGGACAAAGACCAGTGTAGTGTGTGGAGGTTTCGAGGGAGAAGATTATACCACAGAGTCAATGGTGCTCGTTCAGTGTCTGTTGTTAGATAGGTTCTTGTGTTATATTTAATTTGAATATAGAGGAAAATGTACAATGCTCATTTATTTGTCATCCTATCAACAGATATTTATTCATCAACTCCCTATAAAAAAGCTGGGAGGTGAATGAAAGAAATGGTAAGACCTTCAAGGAGTCTATGGTCTAGTAGCTAGAATTAGTTAGAAATTAGTTAGAAATGAGTAAAATTTTAGGCAGAAAGATAAATGCTCTTTGTTTGTTAGAGTTATTTCTCTAGAATAAGCAGAGGGACTTCCTGAGGAATTAGCTCCTAAGCTGAGTCCTGAAATATGGGTAGGAATTGAACAGATGCAGAAGGGAAGAAAGGCTTCCCAGGCAGAGTTAGCACCATAAAGCAGGAAAAAGACATATTCTATATGAGCAACTATAAATAGAAAAATAACATTTTAGCATTGGAGAGAAATTTACACATAATCTGGACCAACCTACCATCCGATTCTTGAATTTCCTTTTGGACATCTCTTTGAAGTAATTGTAGCAACCCTTTTCATCCCTGGGCTGCTCTGTTAGAATGCTTTTCCGTATTGAGACAAGATCCAATGATAGTTGCAAAATCTTATTATTTACATGATAAACATTGTTTTTTATTTAAATACCTATTGAATGACTTAGTCTTGGTCCCTTGGGACCACACAAAATGGGTCTCTACTCAGCTGAACCACAGGCTTATGCCAGAAGAGTGATAAGAGAGAAGCCTACAGAGGTAGAGCCTAGTGAGAGGAGATTTAAAAGGCAAGACTAAGAAGTCAGGACTGTGTCTGGAAAGCCAAGTGGGTTCTTCCACATCCTTAGGCACATCAGTGACATAATCAGTGAGCAATTTAGGAAGATATGTATGATATCTGTGTGCAGAAAGGATTTGATGGAGAGATTCTGGCCATTGGATGCTAGTTAAGAAGCATTGTCAACATTAGAGTTAGACATAGAAAAAGTCTGGCCTAAGATGGTGAAAACAAAATAGATTTTTAGAAAGGTGTCAATGGAATAGACACAGAAGAAATAATGTGTGATTAAATTTGGATCCCGACTCACTACCCACAGTCACCAGCAGGTACAGGGATGCAATTCTCCAGGGCAGCTTTGATAATACATTCTTGTTCCTGTCAACCTTAAGCATCTAGTATTAACATTAGTCTGCTGGGTTATTCCAATTCAATTCAATTCAATAAATGTTGAGTGGATCAGTAAATATGTGCCAGATACTGTTCTGGGAAGACAAAGTGATCAAGACAAGATTCCCGTTCTTATTCCCCTCACCCCCAGTTTTATTGAGGTATAATTGACACATAGGAGTTGCATATATTTAAGATGTGAAACTTGATTGATTGATTCATTCATTCATGAGAGACAAAGAAAGAGCCAGAGGGAGAAGCTGGCTCCCCACTGAGCGGGGATCCCAATGCGGAACTCCATCCCAGGACCCTGGGATCATGACCTGAGCCCAAGGCAGATGCCCAATCATCTGAGCCACCCAGACCCCTGATGTTTTGATATACGCATACTGTGAACTCATCATCACACTCAAACTAATTTACATATCTGTAACCTCGCATGGTTATCTGTGTGTATGTGCACGTCCATGCTAAGAACACTTGAGATCTCAAAGAGTACAAAGTTTCAGTTACACAAGATGAATGCATTCTGGAGGGCTACGTACAGCATAGTGACTATGGTCAATATTGTAGTGTGTACTCGAAATTTCCTAAGAGGGTGGATATTAAGCATTCCTACTGCAAGATTCCTATTCTTACAGGGCCTCATGCTGTTATATGTAGGAAGAAACTAGTTCTAAAATCAAGGCATTCGCAGCTATTTGAGACTAGTAAAATTGCAAAGCAGGGCCAGTGGTTGTGGACATAAGCTGGTGTTTGTACATTACTGAAATATAGTTTTTCCTAAATTGTCCATACCCTCAGAAAAAAATTATCATAAAAAATTAGAAAATACGCTTAATTTTAAAAATCAATAAACCTGTCTTAGGATAATGGTGTTACATTTTGAGGAACATTCTTTCTCTATTTTCTAGACTTTTATACACAAATGCATGTTACTTATAAAATGAAATGAATCTATTAATACTGCCCTTTATCTTACTTTTCCCACTTATTAATATATTAGAAATATATTTCCATGTCAGTGAATATAGACTACTTTGTCATTATTAATCCTCCCAGTGTCCTTTCAAAGGAGATGATGAATTAACCAACCAAAACTCTATGGCTTAATACTTGTATTTTCCCCCCATTTTGGGGGGGGGCTATGATAAACCATACTAAAATCCTCAGTTTACAGATATGTTGCAATTTTGTCTGATATTTCTTTAGGAAAACTCTTAGATTTAGAATTCTTGGGTCAAAGAATTTGTTTTTGCTCTTAAAGCTATGGACGGATACACATTGCCAAATTCCCTTTTACTCTTTGCCCTTAGTGTGTGAGCATTCCCCATTATCCGCCAACACTGAGAATTGTTAGTGTTTTCAATCTTTACCAATCTGATAAATGGACAACAGTGTCGCTTGGCTACTATTGACATCAAACTGTTTTTTTTTTTTCATGTGTTTATAGGTCGATGGTATTTAGAAAGATTTTGTGAATAATCTATTGATGTCCCTTGCCCATTTTCCACTGGGAGATTTACTTTCCTCTTTTTTATTTGCCAAATATTTTTACACATTAATCTTTTGTCCTATGGGTTAAAATATCCCCCCACTCACCATTTATCCTTCCCTTTTAACTTCATTAAGGTCCTGTTTTTTGTACAAAAGTTTTGTTTGTTTGTTTGTTTACTTTTTAGTCTAGGTTATTTTTGCATGTATTTCATTGATTTTCTATTTGAAATATATTCTTGAAATTTTTAATGAAAAAGTTTTGCCTTCAATGTTTACAAAGTCAAATCTAGCCGTCTTCTCCTGTCAGATTCCTTTTGTGAGCATTTATGCTCTGTCTTGTGGTTTTCCTCTGTTCTGCAGCTGGCATGCTGGGACAATATAATGTTGGTAACTGCAAAGGTGATATTCCTCACCCCAAAATGAAGGGTCAACAGAGGCACTACTTTATAGCAGCTGAAAAAGTCCTTTGGGATTATGCTCCTCAAGGCTATAACAAATTCAGTGGTCTTCCCCTAAATGCATCTGGCAGGTAAGTACTCTTTGCTGGCTGTTCTAAGCTTCTCCTAAGAGAGAACCCTGTTAGACCTTTACCTGGGACCTCACTGGTATCCCCAGCCCTTCTCCATAGATGACGTAACGACACCACTTAAAGGGTTCTGAGCCCCATAATGTACATATGGCTGAGAATTGGTGGAGTATTTATTGTCATGATTGGCTGGTTGTATCAAAGCACTATGTTCATTCATTCATTCATGAAACGTTTCTTGAGCACCTACTGGATGTAAATTGCAATGCTAAGTGTCACGAGAAATATTAAGCTGCCAGAGAATAGAATAAGGCCTTTGCACATGTGGAGATGACTGTTTTGAAGAGAGAATAAGACAGGGCTCTCTTTCAGTGGAGGTGAACTGGCCAAGGAAAGTTACCCTTTGTGGTTCAAGGACAGCCTGCTAAGTTATGCCCCCTCTACCCAGAGTGTCCTTTTCCTACCTATCCAGCAAAATGTTATTCTTCCTTCAAAATCTAATCCTAATGTTACCTCTTAAGTGATGCTGCCCCTGACTCCCAAGTCATTAATCATTTTCTCTCTCATAGCATGTAGTATGTTTCAAATTAAATCTAACAATCCATTAAGTAAGTGGATGTGGACCCCTGTGAGTTGTTATTATAGAATCCTGTGCAATGATGTCTGTGAAATCCTTTTAGAATGTGCAGTATGATACCAAGAATGGTCGTTATTACCCTATGATCCCTTTTGTGTTTGAGGGAATGTTTTTAAAATTTTCTTTGTGATGGATAAGATACCCTTCATTCATGTCATCGTAAATTAATTGTTTGATTGATTGATGCCCTTCAACCTAACTTAAAGAATCCATATGAACCATATATGAGCCTGTTTGATATCGACACTCTAGATTGACTAGTATTTCTCTATAAACAGAATAATGAGATTGGCATTGGGAATTTTGTCTTAGAAGCCTTCCAGAATTCTGAAGCACCTTATAAAAATGAAATATTAGGGGTGCCTGAGTGGCTCAGTCGTTAAGCGTCTGCCTTCAGCTCAGGTCATGATCCCAGGGTCCTGGAATAGAGCCCTTCATCGGACTCCCTGCTCAGTGCGAAGCCTTCTTCTCCCTCTCCCACTCCCCCTGCTTGTGTTCCCCTCTCTCACTATCTCTCTCTCTGTGTCAAAAAGAAAAAGGAAATGTTAAAGCATATTTAACTGATAATTAATGTGATATATGAAAGCACAACATAAAAATTAACATAAGGGTTGCAGAGAGGTGTAAGGTAGTGTTCCCACCCTCGGATCAGAAGGAGGCTGTATGCACAGAGAAAAATAACTTGGTAAGTTACAAATAAGATCAAGATGAGTTGTCCGGACAAGTGAGTTCTCTGGGTGTTCAGAGAGAGCTAAGATAGCCAAAGAACACTTCACAGAGGAAATGGGACTTGAGCAGAATCTTGAAGAATAGTGGAGTTTATATAAGTGAATCATTAGGAGGGAAATTTTAGATGCAGGGGTCAGTGAGATCAAAATGACCGGATGGGGAATTTGCACAGGGGAGTGGAGGTTTGCCTAGAGCCATAGGGAGAGGATTGGGTAAACTGGATCTCAACCCCAGAGGTCCTATAATCCTTTTGAACTTTATCTGATTGGAGGATGTAAGCAGGTGAAGATGTTGGAGCAGGAAATGGCAGTGAAAATTACCATCTTGGAGGTTAGTGTTGTAGTAGCGTGTATGCTGAAGGGAGAACCTGGAACAAGCCGAGGCAAGAGGGAGGGCATAGAGTGTGTAGCTGGAGCTTCGTAAAATGTTGAAAACACAAGGTGAAGGGGGCAGGTACGGGGGTTGTGGCAGTGGGGAGAAAGACAAGGAAAAGAGGCAAAAAGGGTACAGAGAAGGAAGGAAGGATGAACAAGATAAGGAGATAAGGCAGAGAAAGAAGACAAAGTCAGACTGTGTGGCTCCAAGAGTGGTGGTACCATCAGCAAAACTAAGGCCTCAAGAGACAGTGTCCGGATTCACAGCACTGTAGTTCACAACTTGGGAATTTGGTATGTTGTGTATATAGTTTATATGATGACTCTCCATTGACTTAACTATTTGGTTAACTAGACACTCCATACCTTAATCATGCCAGATATGAAAGAGCTTACTAAAAGCAGAGAATATTCATATTGACATCAGCAAGAGAGAGAGGGATACTTACTCTGGAAAGAAACTGGTTAGCTCTTTACTTTGTAGAATGCCATTCTGAGACTCCAGTGCCAGTAAGTATGGAGTTCACCTGTGTTTTCTTCAGTCGCTGGACCTCTGGGGAAGAAAGTATGGTGGCTAAGAGAGGAATGAGCTTGACCACCATCCAGCCCTCTGGAGACTTTCAAAGCTGCCTGACTATTCCTGGGAACTTGGTTGAAGACTGGGCCATCTTTCCCGGGGAGATGGGTGGGTGAATGAGCTAAGATAATGAAAGGAAGCTCCATGATTAAGGCATCTGGTGGATATGTAGAGATGTGGTCTCAGTCAGGTTCCTATTCTTTACACAGTGACTCCGAGCTCTACTTCACACAAGGGGACAACAGAATTGGAGGAAAATATTGGAAGGCTCAGTATATGGAGTATATTGATGCAACTTTTACTCGAAGAAAGAGACTCTCTGAGGCAGAAGCCCATCTTGGAATTCTTGGTAGAATAAAACCATCTGTCATGTTTTGAATGGGGGGAGAGGTCTAGTGGGGCATATATGTACATGGAATGACTCTTCTTCTCCTGCCTATATTCACTTCCCTCTGCCCCTTTTCATCCTCTTCTCCCTCCTCCTCTTGATATCTTTCAGGCCCCGTCATCCGGGCAGAGGTGGGTGATACCCTGCTAGTGACCTTTGCCAACAAAGCCGACAAAGTCTACAGTATTTTGCCCCATGGCGTGATCTATGACAAGGCCTCTGATGCAGCCCCAAACATAGATGGTGAGTCTCAGCCTGACCTCGTGGAGGAAAGAGGATGAAGGAACAGAGGACTTAGAACTGGGTAGATTTGGTTCAAATGATTTTCTTACCAGCCCTGAGAGCTTGTGTGAGCTTGTGCCTTACTCTTTCCTTACTAACGCAGATGGTGACACTCACCTCACAGGGCTTCGAAAGGAGCTCGAGAGAATTCAGGGCTGGGTCTACTCCACAATAGGCACTTAGGAAATGTTCATTTCTTTCCTTTTCCCACAGTAATGTAATAAGTCTCAAAGTGAGCTACGTTCACAGTCACCCCCACTTCCCTAAGATGGAAAGTTTTTCAGCCACAGGTTACACGGGATTCTGTGGGTGACAGTTTAGGGTAAAATCTGATTTCCAGGGTTTGGTTGACATCAAAATCTTACACATGGTCTTCACTCTGTCTCTGTTGACAAATATTTATCTATAATCAGTCTTATGTGCTTACCATCATATTCAGCCCTCCCCATCACAGGGGAGGTAGCTCATCACAGAGTAGGTAGCAGAGACTCCCTACATGTAAGAAAGGGAGCTTCTGCCCAGTGGCCACAGGAACTAGGTTTCCACTCATGATACTGCTCTTGGGAACCTCCTAGTCCCCTGGGAAGTCTTCCCCATCCCTGCAACAGACATCACAAATGTTTGGGATACTTCATGCCCAAGGATGGGGCTAGGCCCAGTTCAGAGCAGGCTTTGAGGTGATGGTAAGAGAAGAGAAAAGGGAGGACTGGAGGGAGAATTCCCCCTCCCCAGACCCATCATCATTCCCTGCTCCTGTAGTAACCTCTCTCCTACCTGTACTTTCTCCTTGGTCAGAGTGCTCATAGTCACTGTGTGTGTGTGTGTGTGTGTGTGTGTGTGTGCGTGTAGGAAGATCACCAGTAACAGCCCAAATGTCTGTATTTTCTATCATTTACCTTAGCAAATTTATTGGGTACCATTTTGCAAAGCTCTGGACAAGGTGCAGAGAGTTTTTGGCCTCAGCATGGCTGGAGAGACTCAACGTATTCATTTGGCACTCCAATGTGTGGGTTGAGTGCCAAGTCTTTAGAATCAGACAGCCCTGAGTTTGAATCTCAGACATGCCACTTACCAACTTTGTCACCCTGTGTCTTCCCTTACCTCCTCTATCTCATGGTTATTTGGCTTATTTCCCAGTTCAACCTAGATTTCAAACTGTTTAAGGATAGGGCTCTTGCTTAACTTTTTGGGATACCCTCGGCAGTGCTGAGTACAATATATTCCACATACGAAGACACTCAATGAGAGTTTGTGGATTTACATTTAATTGGTAGAGAGGCAATTATCACTCTTTTCATATTTGCTAACCCTAGTATTTGGGTAAGAAAGAGTATCTGCAGAGACACTAAATGTAATCTTGGAAGAAGATAACCCTTGGATATAAGCTTCTTCTATCTCATAACAGCAGACTGTGGCAGTGAGCTCCCTGGTAAGATACACAACTGGAAACAACTGCCCTTCTACAAAATACATCAGAGAGAGACCCCAGGGCTGGAAGACCCAGTCTGACAAATTTAATGTTCTTGGCTCTTTTTTTGAGAGTAACTTTCATCTTTCATCTGCTCAGGATTTCTGAAGCCAGGGGCTCATGTGAATCCAGGTGAAACCTTCACATACAAGTGGACGGTGCCTGAGAGCGTAAGCCCGACAGCAGGTGATCCCCCCTGTCTGACCTATCTTTACTTCTCAGCGGTGGAGCCTATCCAGGACACCAGTGCTGGCCTTTTGGGGCCCTTGCTAGTCTGTAAGAAGGGTGCTCTCAATGCCGATGGGACACAGGTAGGCCATCAAAGGTCACTAAATTCTCCTCAGGGTTGTATATGGGAGAGGGCAGTAATATGGCTAGGGATTAGAGGATAATAAGGTGTCAGGTATGAAAAAAAAACATTTTGATTTTTCCTCCTCCTTCTTAAAACTGACTTAAAATACAGAATGAGTATTTTATTTTTTGTAAATTTAAGATCTGAATTTAAATTTAAGGTAAGTTTAAGGTCTGAAAGTTACAAATGCCCACCCAGAAACCCAGGATTTCTGTTTGTTGTGGCTGGAATTTGGTGGGTCCCTGTCCCTGTGAATTGCTTTAATTCTAGAATCTTCAGAGATCTACGTGGACTGTCAGTTGGGACCCTTTCTTCTTGGACAAGGTTTCTCAAACTTGGCCACATGTTAGAATCACAAAGGGGACCTTTTAAACATCTTTCATTCCAGTGCTCCAAACCGATTAAACCAGAATTTCCAGGTGCTTTTCAGTGTGTAGCCAGGGTAGAGAACCACTGTAACTCACCACTGTAAGCTGTAAGTGAATCACTAGAGCCAAGGGCACAAGAAAGCATGTAGATAATTTCTTGAAAGTCCCAACTTGGAGGCGTTGCTGCTTGCATTGACTAGTGTGGCAAAGCATAGTATTTCAAGCTATGACTACATGAAAGGAGGAAAATCTGATCATATAACCATTTCGATTTATTTCACTAATCAGAAATAGCAAGACTATTTATTTACATGGTATATTTTATAATGTTTGGCATTATAAGCACCCACTTTTAGGCTCCAGAGGATTTCTAGGTAGAGGACACAAAGTGTCTTGGTCCATCTCAGATTTTCATTTCCCTGCACAAAGTGCCAATTGTGGAAATATCTATTAGAGGCTCAATGTGTCACTGGCCCTCCAGGTGGGCCCTCAATAATGCATGTGTAATAAGATTGAACAGTTACACTGTACCCTAAGGTTACATAAGGCAAAGCAGAATGACCATCCCTATTTTAAAGTTAAAGAAACTGAAGCCCAAAGACATTGAGTGATATCCCAAGTAGTAAGTAGTGAAACTCAACGGTAACAGAGGGCTTTGGATTTCCAACTTTGTTTATTTTCCCAATACAATACCCTTCTTCCTATAGCTAAATACTGAAGCCCAGGAAATTGAGTGCCAGAAAACTTCTGTGAGGTAGTTCTGATTTTGTCCTTATTGCATCCATTTGATGGTATTTTAGATGCTTGCTAGAAGCACCTCGTAGCATGTGAAGGTTGTTGCCTGAGTCAAACACCATTCATGGTCAGTCCATTTACATGAAGAAAAATTAATAGCAACCTGAAATACCTCACACCTGGGACTTGGCTGAGAGAGAAATCCATTTGGCCAGACAAAGTTTTTTTCAATACAAAAAGTACTTATGAAACACATGCTAAAGCAGGTCTTCAATAGGTTAAAGCTTAGGTCTCTTCTCATCAGGCAGATCGAGAACACAAAAAAGAGGTATTTGTATCTCTTTCCAGGAAAATCCCCCAGGGGTGAATCAATGTCACAGAATCTAACCAGGTGCTAATAAAGCCCTTCACTAACACCCATGCCTTCTACAATGGCCACTTAATCATATTCCCTACTTCGACTCTCTTTCTCTCCAGCCATCTATGCCTATCTTATTTTGAATAGTTTTTATTTTGAATAATTTCAGACTTATGCAAAAGTTGCAAAAAAAAAAAACCCAAGAAGAATTCCCATATATCCCTCACCCAGATTCCCCAAATATAAACATTTTGCCTCATTTGCTTTATTAGCTTTCTCTTCATTTTTCAGTTGTTGGTTTTTTTTTCCCCTGACCTCTTTGAGTTAGGTTATTGACTTGCTGTCTCCTCAGCATGTTTCCAAAAAGCAAGGTCATTCTCTGACCTAAGTAAACATAATTATCCAGGTCAGGAAATTAGTCTAGATACAGTACTATTATCAAATCTGAGCACCCTTGAAAATTTTGCTGTCTTCCCAATGTCATTCAAAACAAAAGAAAACTATGTTTTGCCTCATCCAAGCTCTCACCTAGATCATGTATCATCCCCTCTTCATGCCCGTTTCTCCTGTGATCTGTTTCTTCACAGGGAAGCAAGTGTGACTTTTCTAAAATGCAAATAATATCAAGTCATATCCATGTTAAACACCCTCCACTAACATAACACACACACACACACACACACACACACCACATCCTCTAGTGACTTCCTATCACACTTAGAATAAAAATTTATATTCCTTAGCCTAGACCTATGTGCCCAACCTCTGACCCCTTCTTTGATATATCTCCCTCACTCCCTCATGCCTATTTCTTCTCCACCCATATAAGCCTTTCTGTTCCTTGAACAGGCCAGCCTTATCCTTGGCTTAGTGCCTCTTTCTTAGGCTCCCTCTGCATGGAATTCCTTCCCCTGACCTTTGCATAGCTGGCTCTTCGTGTCACCTCCTGAGAAAAGCCTTCCCTGAAACCCAGGCTAAAGTCATACTCTATCACATCCCCTGACTTTCATACGACATTTTCTTTTTTTATTTTTTGTGTGTCTAGTATGTTTCGTCTAATGAGAATACAAGTAGCAGGGAGCAGGAAAGTTGTCTGTCTTATATTCATTTCTCAGAACAATGTCTGATGTACTGTTGACACTCAACTGATATTTATGGTTGAATAAATGAAATACAAGATAAGTACTCCATCTTCAAATTCATATTAAGAAGTTTAGGTAGCAGAAAAAGCCATGTTACACACACTCAAACATTAAACTTGTGGCCTGCAAGTAGACACTAAAAATTCCAGGACAACCTTATTTGTAAAACTCACTTCCCGTATCCACATTTCAACACTCAAAGTTGCATGATGGATCATGATTCAGACCTCCCAGTTTCCCTGCTGCTCTGGGATCCTAAATCATACTGATGTAAGTATTCTTCACAAAAGATCTTTGTGCTGTGGACACTCGCCATCACTCAGATACATTCCATGCACAGGTGGTGGGGTGGATTAATCCAAGTTCTCCAGAGAAACAGAATCATAAGGACGTATATGTAAACAGAAATAGACATATTATAAGGAACTGACTCACATGATTATGGAGGCTGAGAAGTTTCATGATCTGCAGAGAGAATCAGCAAGCAAGAAACCCAGGAGACGCAAAAGTCCAGCAGGGTTAAGACCCAGGAAGAACCTATGTTTGAGGTTGAGTCTGAAGGCAGAAAAAAGTCAGTGTTTCACTTCAAAGGCAGAGGGAATTCCCTTTTGCCTGTGGGAGGGTTAGACTTTTTGTTCTATTGGGTCCTTCAACTGATTGGATATGGCCCACCCAGATTGGGGAGAGGAATCTGCTTTACTCCATCCACCAAATTCAAAAGTTAATCTCATCCAAAAACATCTTCATAGAAACACCCAGAGTAACGTTTGACCTAATATTTGGGCATTGCAGCTCAGTCAAGTTGACACATAAAATTAACTATCACACAGGGTCCTATCACCTACTTTCTAATCTTTTCCTGGATTTATTTCCCATCCTCACAGACCCAGGTACCTTCCAAATGACTTGCAGGTGATAAAGTTCTTCAACTAAACACTTTTCAGTGGTTTCTTCTTGTTTTATGGACAGTTGCAATCACAGATAATAATCACAATTAATGTTGAGCACTTAGGATTTGCCAGATGCTGTGTTGAGTACTTTACCTATATTATCTAATTTAACTTTCATCAAAAAAAGGGAAGTGGTGACTACTTTTATCCTCCTTTTGCAAATGAGGGATTTAGGACTTAGAGAGGGTAAATCACTTGCCCCAGTTTCCACAGTGGATAAGCAGAATGACATTAGAACCCCACACTCTCTTTTTTAAATTAACATATAATGTATTATTTGCCCTACGGGTACAGGTCTGTGAATCATCAGGCTTACACGTTTCACAGCACTCACTATAGCACATACCCTCCCCAGTGTCCATAACCCAGCCATCTTATCCCTAACCCCCTACCCCCCCAGCAACCCTCAGTTTATTTTGTGAGATTAAGAGTCTTTTATGGTTTGTCTAGAACCCCATACTCTTTTAAAAATATATTTGACCTGGGGCACCTGGGTGACTCAGTGGATGAAGCCTCTGCGTTTGGCTTAGGTCATGATCCCAGGGTCCTGGGATTGAGCCTTGGATCGGGCTCTCTGCTCAGCAGGGAGCCTACTTCCCCCTCTCTCTGCCTCCCTCTTTGCCTACTTGTGATCTTTGTCTGTCAAATAAATAAAATCTTTTTAAAAAATGTGTGTGTATATATATACATATATATATATATATATATAGGTGTGTATATATGTGTACATATACACATATATACACACACATTTTTTAAAAAGATTTTTATTTTTATCTTATTTTTAAATTTAAAAAGATATATTTTAAAAAGATATATATGTGTATATACATATACATATATATATATACATTTGACCTCTTAGTTCTCTCTAATTTTTTATATTTTACTTTAAAAAATTTCAAGTTTACATTATTCCTTTTCATAGTTCATGATCTAAAATTACTGTCTTCTAAAACAGCACAGGATAAAAGCAGTAAGTGAATATAAGGATGGTGCAAGAATAAAGCAAAGGCTACCCATATCTTTGATAATACATTAGGAAAGCATCACAGAGGTGAGACAGCCAAACTGGCCTTTAAGGTTGACTTAGGGTGGCAGAGGTTCAAGCTGAAGGGATGCATGCATGAAAGACAGAGGTCTGCAGAAACAGCAAGTTCAGATTGCTTCAAGGAGCTTGGCCTCACTTTGGTCAAACTGCCAGGAGGTATGGGCCAAGAGATGAGCCTGAGCAGGAAGGCAAGGACCAGATCACTCCAAGTTTAGACTGTATTGTCCAGTTTCAGTAGGCGAGAGATGTGATCAGTGGCATTTCTGGGGATCCCTCCAGAGTAGGCAGCAGGGTAAAGGGTGGGTTGGAGGAGAACACATTAGAGATAGGAAGATGGTTGAAGGAAAGAAAATACAGTCACCTCTCTGGTTCAGCTTTAAATAAAAGCATATTTCAACAATGCAAGATGCTACATGCTCAAACACATTGATTAAGAATATACACAGTAGGAAGTAATCCATGGTCCCCTCAATTTCAACTTATGTTAACATAATTTAGCAAAGTCTCATGGGTTATGTGAATTCATTATTTCACTCAAAAACATGTAGAGTGCCTTCTTTTCCAGGCATTTTTTTTCTTAAACTGGGAACATAGAGAGGAACCCAAAATGTCCCTACCCTCACAAAGCCACAATGCAGTGGGACAATGATCATAAACATAAATTCATAAACAAAATATTATTGTGGAGACAAGTGCTATGAAGAAGAGTAGAGTGGGGGTGAATGGTGAGTTTGCAGGCAGGGTGGAAGCCAGGTGAATCTTTTACACAGGGTAGTCAGGGAAGGGTACTCAAGGAGGTGAGATTTGTGCAGAGAATGGAACCGAGTAAGGGAGTGAGCCAGGCAAGACTGGGGAGAAATTTCTAGGCAATGGGAACAGCACATGAAAAGTTGCTGAGGCAGGAGTGAAGCTGGATGGTCACAGAAGAGCAAAAGATCAGGGCAGCTGGAGTCAGCAAGGGGTGAGGACAAGAAGACAGCTGCAGAGAGGCGTAGGCATGGAAAATAAAAGGGTGACGACCAGCCCGAAAACAGGAGTCCCACAGTGTAGAAAAGCTTCTGAATAAGGACTTATTTCTTCTTAGCAAGTCTAATGGGGAGGGAGAAGGATGTAATGAAGAAGATGAAATTTTAGGGTATAAAATGAATTTATCAGAATCATGTTCGGAATCCCGATTTACAAAATGAGCCAAAAAAAAAAAATCTATGGCTGATGTCGGTCCTCATTTACTTGATGTTAACTTTGAAAGTGAAATAGAACAATTTCCTCCAAGCTGTACTCTTTATACATTGATCTCTTTCTTCTCTGTAGAAGGGAATAGACAAGGAATTTTACCTACTATTCACAGTCTTTGATGAGAACTTGAGCAGGTATCTTGACGAAAACATTCAGAGGTTCACATGGCGCCCCTTCAGTGTTGACAAAGAAGACAAGGATTTTGTGAACTCCAACCGGATGCATGGTACGAACAATGACTTTCCCTTCTATAAGGGAAGGGATAATTGCATTTGAAGTGAAAATGTTTTGAGTGTTTTAAACGATCCTAATTTTGGTTTCTTGGATATTGTTCTCAGTCATTAGTCAATTATTTCCTGACTTCATCTCAGAAGGTATGGTGAAACCTCCCTATCTCCCAGCGATATTGTGAAACTTAATTAATACTTCCGAAATACTTCATCAGCTTGAGATGAAGCCACACAGAACATGAACTAGCGAAGATCACAGTACACTATAAAAGTACAAAATTACTGACAAAATGCCCTCCCTTGGGTTTGTAATCACATCGTTAAGTCTGATAATCCAAGTGATCATTAGCGATAAACATTCAACAGTAAAGCATCTCTTATCAAGTACATGAAGGCCTGTCCAAAGTGCTAATTTGTAAAACGCTACCCATTCCTATCCCAGATCTTATTTAGAAGGAATTGCTTAATTCCCCTTCTCTGTGTCTCTTATATCAGTTGTAACAGTGGCAAGCCACCTTGTAATTGCTGTGAATTACACAGCATTCTCATTAGTCTTGGGCACATTACCTAAGGTGATAGAATAATGAGCGAGAGTCCAAACTCAAACAACTACTAGAGGGCGTGCTCAACAAAGGGGACTGAAGCAAGTACTCTAAGAGAACAGGTGCCAAATTGCTCATTTTAGGACCAAGGATGACAACTATGTATTGCCTTTGAAATATTACAGGAGAATAACAAAATAGTCCCTAATCTCCCTTCCCCACAAGGAAGTCCAAAAACGTCCAAGGTTCCAAGTGACCCACAGCAGGCAGCTCACAGACTCCTATGGTCCTGGGTGCTCCATGCCAACAGTCTCTTCTTGGGCCAATGAAAAGCACTGAGTAACTCACTTTCAATACCATCGTCTACAAAATTGTTGTTATACCTGAATAATGAAATTTACTTCCAACCTTCCTAGTAACCAAAAAAAAAAGGGAGGGTGGAATAAAGTGGAAATGAGGAAACACAACAATTCCTTCATAGAAAAACTAAGTTGCAAAAGAAATTTATTGTAAGACAGGCCTGTAAAGAGAAAGCATTAAGACCCAGTGGACTGTGTCACATCCACCCCTACCCTGGTTTGACAATGTGAAATACACTCTCATATATTGGATGTGTAGAATATGCCACCTTGAAAGTGCAAAGAAAGCAATGTATTTTAATTTAAATTTTACATTAATTATAAATTGAATTCTATCCCCAGGCTTACTTGCATGGAGTAGAAGGAAGAATGATGGCAACAGTACCAAAGAGAAAGTACCTCACATAGTAGATGGTACTTTGCATTACACCTGTTATATAGTCGATATTCAAAGGTGTTTGTTGACCTCCTTCCCTCGAGATCATCCTCAGTGACTTGTGAGCTGTCCTTGGGGGTCTTTTATGACAAAAAAAAAAAAAGGGCCATGCCTCCAGTAGTTCTTGGGTTAGTCAACAAATATCAACTGGGTTAGGCAACAAGGCTACACAAGAAGACAGAACAGTGTAACTTCTTCACCAGACCTCCTCATGGGCTTTGGCTACCTTTAACTGAGACTATAACCAGCAATGACACCATTCTTTCAGGAAGTGTTTAGAGTACTAGAAAAAAAAAACAAAAAACAAAATAGAAAACAAAAGTATTTGTTGAATGTATGAATGGATGTTCCAGAAAGAGAGGATTTAAACTAGAATTCCAAGGCAAGAGAAGATTCTCTACCAGCCAGCCAAGGATGAAATTATTAGCACCCCAAATTACAAAAAATCTCTTTAACATTCAATGGACAAAATTAACATAATTTATTTGCAAAAGCATTACCAAAGATTTTTTTTTTTTTTTTTTTTTCAGAAAAGGCAATGTTCTTCTCAGAAGCCTCCAGGCTTCTTAGACTTTCTATTAATAATCCCAGACATCTGAGTAAAATTACCAAGTATCACTGGTTCTGCAGACACAAAAATAAAAAGAGACACAGAAATCAAAAGTAATTTTTTCTAATAATGGGACAATAAACGAAGAGCACTCATAAATGTGATAGTTGTTCTTTCCTACTATGGACATTAATAACGAGTAGGGCAGGGATAGAATCTTGATCTCTCTCAGGGACATCAAGTGTGAGACATAGTTACATGTAATCTCCCCTCAAAAAGTGCTATTCAGTTAATATATTCATGCCTCACAGAGTTGGAATGTGGTTTCTAAATTCTTTTCAAGATGTTTCTCCAGGTAGTCACTATCAGTGGACTGAAGTTGATGTAAAAGAGGAAAACAATTCTCACTGTGGGAGATTCAGAAGGTCTTCATGACCTAAGTCATCATTATTCAAAGGCCCTTTATTTTATTGAGGTAGGGAAATGAAAGTATTCAAAAGGTAAAAGTATTTACTCAAAGACTGGCCTCTTATAATTTAAAAAAAATTTTTTTAAGGTTTTTTAAAATTTATTTGATAGACAGAGATCACAAGTAGGCAGAGAGGCAGGCAGAGAGAGAGAGAGGAAGGGAAGCAGGCTCCCTGCTGAGCAGAGAGCCCGATGCAGGGCTCGATCCCAGAACCCTGGGATCATGACCTGAGCTGAAGGCAGAGGCTTCAACCCACTGAGCCACCCAGGCGCCCTGAGACTGGCCTCTTATAAACTCAGCTCCCACTCCCCTGCAAAAAAAAATCTCTCTCCTCTGACCAGACATGCAAGTTCAATATCAATCAATTGTGAACTTTTCCAATGGCGCAGGATCCAAGAAATCAGTAAAGGGATATCTGGCAACTCTTGGAATCAAATGCAAATCTGTTGGCAGATGAAATGAAAAACAAAATGAAATGAATTAGCAAGGTGAGAAAGGGACACTTGAAGGAGATAATAGGATAAGAACCTCAAAAGAAAATGATTTTCATAGCAAGAGTTCTAGAGCAGGCTTTGGGGAAATTGATGAAGTTCATAAATATATTTACAAGGATGATGCTTTTCATAAACTGCCAAATGAAAATGCAAATTGTGGGATATCATATCTATCAAACAATTTTGTCAGAAAAAAATTATGCCAGAGAAAACCTGATTTATTTTTTATTGATTCTTAGGACTTATGCCCTTGTGTATACATGGTTAAATATAGTATTTTCACAATTTTCGTATATTTTCATTCTTCATTGTTCAGTTTAGACTCCAATTTACATTGATTCCCTTTGTGACTTTTCTCTAGTCTTATCTACTCTTTGGTAGTAAGCATCTTCCGTAAATAGTTTAAACTTGAGCATGGGAACAGACTGCCCCCCCCACACTAATAATCCTCAACTAAAATGGCGTGTTTTCTGTACCTACAAGATCATCGTGGGCTCTGACTATGTTTTCCTTTCATTTAGCTATTAATGGCTTTATGTTTGGCAACCAACTGGGCCTAACCATGTGCAAAAAAGATAGAGTTTCCTGGCATATGATTGGAATGGGCACCGACACGGATATGCATGGAGTTTATTTTCAAGGGAACACCATCCACATACGAGGGACTCACCGCGACACTCTAGCCCTGTTTCCCCATACCTCCACTACGGTTTTCATGCAGCCGGACCATGCAGGTAAACTTGGCAGGATCGTCTCCGGTGACCAAATTCCTATCTTCAGTCACACACTCTAGAAGAAATTGGTTGAATTTGGGCACTTCAAGGCAAACAGCCTTGGTTACAGTTGGACAATCCTAACTATTTTATTCCAAACACACAGTATAAAGAATAGAGGAGATGTATCTAGAATGACACAAAGCAGAAGTCAAGTCCTCCAAACAAACTTGCCACACAAATCCCAGGAGCGTGCTCTTGATTCATTCCCAGGAATGATTTGGCCCCAAGAAAAGGGGTATTTCTTGTTCTTTAAGGCACAAACATTTTATCTGCTGCTCTGAAGAATGTACCAGGCATGGACAGCCCCCTGGATGCTTCCAAGTTATGGGTATGACCCTGGTTTCCCTTGTCTAGAGACTGATAATAGCCTTGTGATAAGTAACTTGGAGACTTCTTCATTTTCATTCTGTTGAGCACCCTTGGTTTCCCCAGAGGGGAAGGTGCATTGGGTCTGAAGTCTGTAGAGGGCCCACTGAGGTGCCAGTACTCATACCTTCTCTTAGAGATTCCCAAACTAATTACATAATTGGGGCATTTTTATAAAAGATACAGGGCAACACATGGCAGCATATGCTACCTGTCACATGAAACATAAAGATAGCAGATGCTATGGGCACTCAAAATATGTCTCCAAGCCAACGTTTTCATTAGTTTTTAAAAGAAACTGACTCTTGATCTTGACTCCGGTCATGATCTCAGGGTTGTGAGATTGAGAACTTTTCAGGCTCCTGCTCAGTAGGGCGTCTGCTTGAGGTTCTCTCTCCCACTCCCTCTACCCCTCTGTGCCCCCCACAAATAAATAAATAAATCTTAAAAAAAAAAAAAAAGAAACCAATATGCTACCCAAGATGAGTACTTGCTGACTCTGTGTCCTATATGAATTGATGTCTACTTCTTTATTTCACACTAGAAGCGCAGTTTCGATGCCCCTCAGTGTCATTGGTTAAAAACTTAGGGCTTGTGCTTCAAAACTTTTGTCCAAGAACTGCCTGAAACTAGGAGCTCCACAATCCCTCCCTTATAGACTTTGAGGATTTAACCTTTCAACATTAGTATAATTAATAAGTTATGAATCACCCAAGCCAAGGGATGGCTTGGACACAATTATTTTTTAAAATATGCTCTTCAAGATCAAAGATGGGAGAGAAGGGAAACGGTTTTAACCCATAAAAACCGACATTCAAAGCTACAGCTGGCTGGAATAATTTTAGGGACTTGGTTAATTATTCCAGTGCCTTGCATATTACACATGTGCCCTCCAAGGTTATAAAGAGCTTATGACAAAGTCTTCCAGTTTAAATCTGGTAGTGAGTAGAAATCTGCGACTGCTTAATAGCTTGGTCATTTCACCAATTCCTGTCCCATATCTACAGACCAAAAATAGTGCCCAAAATATGAGTAGACCCTAGGCTGCAACTCAAATATTTTTCCTTTGTTCTTGTTTTTTAACCACTTTATTGAGATATGACTGATAAACAAAAACCTATAGGTATTTAATATATACAAATCAATGAGTGATGTTGAACATCTTTTCAGGTGCCTGCTGGTCATATATGTCTTCTTTGGAGAAATGTCTGTTCATGTCTTCTGCCCATTCTTTAATTGGATTATGTGTTTTGGGGATATTTAGTTGTATCATTTCTTTATACATTTTAGATACTAATCCTTTATTGGATATGTCATTTGCAAATATCCTCTCTCATTCAGTAGGTTGCCTTTTAGTTTTACTGTTTTCCTTTACTGCAGAAAACTTTTTTAAAATGTATATATATATATTTTTTTTTTTAAATAAACATATAATGTATTTTTATCCCCAGGGGTACAGGTCTGTGAATCGCCAGGTTTACACACTTCACAGCACTCACCATAGCAGCATATACCCTCCCCAATGTCCATAACCTCACACCCCTCTCCCAACCCCCCTCCCCCCAGCAACCCTCAGTTTGTTTTGTGAGATTAAGAGTCACTTATGGTTTGTCTCCCTCCCAATCCCATCTTGTTTCATTGACTCTTCTCCTACCCCCTTAACCCCCTCATGTTGCATCTCCACTTCCTCATATCAGGGAGATCATATGATAGTTGTCTTTCTCCGATTGACTTACTTCGCTAAGCATGATACCTTCTAGTTCCATCCATGTTGTCGCAAATGGCAAGATTTCATTTCTTTTGATGGCTGCATAGTATTCCATTGTGTATATATACCACATCTTCTTTATCCATTCGTCTGTTGATGGACATCTAGGTTCTTTCCATAGTTTGGCTATGGTAGACATTGCTGCTATAAACATTCGGGTGCACGTGCCCCTTCGGATCACTACGTTTGTATCTTTAGGGTAAATACCCAGCAGTGCAATTGCTGGGTCATAGGGTAGTTCTATTTTCAACATTTTGAGGAACCTCCATGCTGTTTTCCAGAGTGGTTGCACCAGCTTGCATTCCCACCAACAGTGTAGGAGGGTTCCCCTTTCTCTGCATCCTCGCCAGCATCTGTCATTTCCTGACTTGTTCATTTTAGCCATTCTGACTGGTGTGAGGTGATATCTCATTGTGGTTTTGATTTGTATTTCCCTGATGCCGAGTGATGTGTCTTTTTCATGTGTGTTGGCCATCTGGATGTCTTCTTTGCAGAAATGTCTGTTCATGTCTTCTGCCCATTCTTTAATTGGATTATGTGTTTTGGGGATATTTAGTTGTATCATTTCTTTATACATTTTAGATACTAATCCTTTGTTGGATATGTCATTTGCAAATATCCTCTCCCATTCAGTAGGTTGCCTTTTAGTTTTACTGTTTTCCTTTACTGCAGAAAACTTTTATTTTGGTTTAGTCTGGTAGTTTATTTTTACTTTTGTTTTTCTTGCCTCAGGAGACATATCTAGAAAAATATTGCTATGGCTGATGCAGAGAGTTACTATCGGTGCTCTCTTCAAGGATTTTTATGGGATCAGGTCTCACATGTAGGTCTTTAATGCATTCTGAGTTTATTCTGTGTATGGTGTAAGAAAGTAGTCCAGTTTCATTCTTTTGCATGTTGCTGTCTAGTTTTTGTAACATTATTTGTTGAAGAGACTGTCTTTTCTCATTGCATAGTCATTCTTACTTTCTTGAAGATTGATTGACCATACGGTTGTGGGTTAATATCTGGGTTTTGTATTCTGTTCCATTGACCTCTGTGGCTATTTTTATGCTAGCACCATCCTGTTTTGATTACTACTGCTTTGTAATATAACTTGAAATCTGGAATTGAGAGCCCTCCAATTTTTTTTCTTTTTCAAGATTGTTTTGGCTTTCTGAGTGTTTGTGGTTTCATATAAATTTTAGGATTGTTTGTACCAGTTCTGTGAAAAATACCATTGGTATTTTGATAAAGATTGTATTAAATCTGTAGCTTGTGTTGGGTGGTATAGACATTTTAACGGTATTTGTTTTTCTAACCCATAAGCATGGAATGTCTTTCTTCCTTCTTGTGTCCTCTTGAATTTCTTTTATCAGTGTTTTGTAGTTTTCAGAGTAAAAATCTTTCACCTCTTTGACTAAGTTTATTCCTAGATAGTTTGCTGGTTTTGGTGCATTTGTAAATGGGATTGTTTTCTTAATTTCCCTTTCTGCTGCTTTATTGTTAGTGTATAGGAATGCAACAAATTTCTGTGCATTGATTTTGTACATTACTGAATTATTTATCAGTTCACATAGTTTTTTGGTGGAATCTTAGGGTTTGCAAATCAAAATTGCAATGAGTAATTGTACCTGTCATACCTATCAGAATGGCTAAAATAAAAAACGTAAGAAACAAGAAGTATTGTCAAAGATATGGAGAAAAAGGAACCCTCATGTGCTGTTGGTGGGAATGCAAACTGGGACAGCCACTGTGGGAAACAGTATGGAGATTCCTCAAAAAATTAAAAATGGAATTGCCCTAAGATCCAGGAATCACACTACTGGGAATTAACCCCAAATACAAAACACTAATTCAAAGGGATACATTCTCCCCTATATTTATAGCAGCATTGTTTACAATAGCCAAACTATGGAAGAAGCCCAAATATGGTTAAGGAGGATGTAGTAATATATACAATAAAATATTATTCAGCCATAAAAAGAATGAAATCTTGCCATTGGCAACAACATGGACAGAGTTATAGAGAAGTGAAATAAGTCAGAGAAAGACAAATACCATATGATTTCACTCATATGTGGAATATAAGAAACGAAACAAAGGAGCAAAGGAAAAAATGAAAGGAAAGGGGAAAAAAAAAGGAGAGAAGGAGACAAACCAAGAAATCAGAGAACAACAGAGAACTACAGAGAACAAACTGGTGGTTACCAGAGGGGATGAAGAAAAAAATAAAATGATAGGAAAAAACAAACAGCTATTTATGCATCTAAAAAAAGAACAAATTGATGAGTTGGGAAGTAACTATACATCTGTGAAGCTGTCACCATAAAGCCTTAAACTCCTCTTCGTTCTTAGAGAAGACAATTCCTTGGCTAGCGGAGAACATGATGAACAGGTGAATAATGGGCTTTCTGGCGAACACCACACGCAGTGGGAGCTCTTCCTTTTTATTTATTTATTTGCTTGTTTATTTATTTATGTGACCTTTTTTTACTTTTTCAATGTTCCAAGATTCATTGTTTATGCACCATACCCAGTGCTCCATGCATTACGTGCCCTCCTTAATACCCACCACCAGGCTCACCCAACCCCTCACCCTTCTCCCTTCCAAAACCCTCAGTTTGTTTCTCAGAGTCCACAGTCTCTCATGGTTTTTCCTCCCCCTCCAATTTCCCCCATCTCATTTCTCCTCTCCATCTCTCAGTGTCCTCTGTGTTATTCCTTATGCTCGACAAGTAAATGAAACCATATGATAATTGACTTTCTCTGCTTGACTTATTTCACTCAGCATAATCTCTTCCAGTTCTGTCCATGTTGATACAAAAGTTGGGTATTCATCCTTTCTGATGGAGGCATAATACTCCATAGTGTATATGGACCACATCTTCCTTATCCATTCGTCTGTTGAAGAGCATCTTGGCTCTTTCCCCTCTTTCCACAGTTTGGCAATTGTGGACATTGCTGCTAAATGGGAGCTCTTCCAATGTCTGCCCTCAGAGCGTCTTCTGATTTCACAAAGACTCTTCCTCATGAGGGTCCTGCTTAATGCTGAGGGGGCTAGAGCACCCACTGAAACAATGGGTTCTTCTCATTCTGAAGGGGTAATCTGCAATACTTTGATATGTACAGCAGATCAAAGCTATCACTGTGCGTTGGACTTGGGTAATGAGACTAATCACTGATCCCTTGCCTCTAAGAACAGAGTCTCTATGAAAGGAAGGGAAGAATTATTGATCCAATAACTCCACTGACAGTTAATATCTTCCAATAATTTTGTTTTATATAATTTTATGGTGGGTTCCATTAAGATATATCTACCTGATGCCAATCTAGAAAATTGCATCAGTTTATAAAATTACGTAATTCTCAGACATGATTGCTGGCATTATGTAGGGAAATCTAGTTGATTTTCTTTTCTTTTTTTTTTTTTAAGATTTTATTTATTTATTTGACAGAGAGAGATCACAAGTAAGCAGAGAGGCAGCCAGAGAGAGAGAGAGAGGGGGAAGCAGGCTCCCCGCCGAGCAGAGAGCCCGATATGGGACTTGATCCCAGGACCCTGAGATCATGACCCGAGCCGAAGGCAGAGGCTTAACTCACTGAGCCACCCAGGCGCCCTGATTTTCTTTTTTTTACACTTTGCATAATGTTGACCTACCACGGTAATGAGAGCCTCCTTTGTTCAAAGGATTAATGAATAATAATAATAGCAATAATAATAATTTAATAGTAATATTTTACATGTGTATTTTACTGTATATAGTTTATGAAATCCTTTAGGGCAAAATACATGATTTCAGAAATGTGCCCTAATTTAATTTAGAATATTAATCTTACAGGTAATTAGTTCATTTTAAACTGGGCTGGGCTAAGATAATCATACCTATTGGTGACTTTCCAGGAGCAACTCTCTTCTAACAGGTGTGTACAGTAGGGAAGACCCAGAGAAATTATTTCTTGGTAGCAACTTTGCAAGTTTTCATTTTCAATTCCAGATGAATTTCAGATGGTATTTCCCACCCCACCCCCGGTAAGTAAATATATTCACAGTGATTTATTCCCCTTGGAGTCTGGCTGGAAAATACAATATAAAATTGGTATTTTAAAGATCCGTCTTACAAGTTATTTTCTTGGGGAAGGGAATGCTGTAGATTGCTAGCAGACCAAAGCCACAACTGTAACTGTCGAGTTCCCTGCACAACGCCAAGCCATTTCTGTTTCAGGTATTTTCAGGCTATTTTGTTCCACCATGCACCACTTTGTGAGAGGCATGAATCAGATCTATGAGGTCAACAGCTGTGGCAACAAGGACCCTTCAGAGCAGCCATACGGGATGATAAGAACCTTTTACATCGCCGCTGAAGAGGTAGAATGGGATTATGCCCCTAACAAAAACTGGGAGTTCGAAAAGCAGCACTTGGACACAGGAGGGGAAAGGTACCACGGGCAAAGCCGCCAAGTCTCTTGGGTGGGGTTGCACATGCTCCGTAGACGTTTCTCAAGTGGGGACACCTAACATTGCCCTGGTTTTGTCTGCACAACTCTGGTGGACAGAGACTGTTATTGTGAGCACAAAAGAGGAGGCAAGCTGCTGGTCTGCCTCCCAGGAGGGGCATCTGAAGTCATTTGGGGGCATACCCCGCAGGCTCAGGGCATCCCCTGATCGTGGTGGCTGGTTGCAAGTGTGGCTGTCCCAAGCATGTGTGTGCCTTTGAGTGAGCACCAAGCTTGAGAGGGTTAGGGAAAGAGGCAGATCCCAGTGACTGTGAAGGGGGACTGTGAAGACAAAATGGTACAGAAGGAGGCAGAGGCAAGGTGAGCAGATGGGTGGATTGAGGACCGCAGGGAAAGAGCCTTCATAGGATGGGGAACAGCCTAGGAGCAGGTAGGAGGCATTGCCTTGGCAGATATCCCCAAATTAAGATGAGCAGGCTATACCCAGAGAGTTCCCAAGACTGACCCTCCCGGGAGAGTACTGTCAGCCAGTGCTAAGCACCAAAGGGTCCGCAGGGCTGGAGCATGGTGTGGGCATGTGAGCTCTGGTCCCCTGCACACACTTCCCCTGTGTGCACTGGGGTAGAGTCAAACAGGATATAGAGGCATGTGCCAGCTTGGACCTGTAGACCTCCTCCCCCAAGTTCATATGCTCCCCTCAGAAACACCCTGCTGCTTGGGTATTTCCTGCCCCATATACAGACCAGGAGATTCAGTGCAGAAGGTTAAGGCTAACCACTAGTCGTGGGTCCTGGAATTGAACATAGACCTTTTGAAGGACAGATCTGTGTTCTCACCACCAAGCCATGTTAATTTGCATGTATTTGTTCCTCTTTGTTCTGTATTATCAGCTCCCCGGTCCCCTGGCCCCACTAATTCTTTTTTGCCATGCCACACACAAATCCTCTATACCCAGCTGTTCCAATCTTAACACGTCTTTTTTCCTGTTCTTACTTGTTGGCCTGTTTTGAGGGTACAGACTCCTGGAAAAGAGAGTAGAACAGCGTCACCTTACGGATAAATGAAGAAATGAAATGACTCTTCCCTTCTAAAAAGATTTGCCTCAGGGACAGGACAATTTAAAATTTGTTCCCATAACTCACCAACCCATTTATTAAACCAGACACTCCTGTCTTGCAAAACCAGTGTTGCTGGTACCAGCTCCTGACTGATGCTGGGGCAGTGGAAAATGAAATGAGGAGTGATCCAGCCTTTTCTAAAATGATGATGTTTACTAAAAGGCTGCTAGAACTAAAGAAATAATGGCATAACAATTTTGTGGTATGTATGTTCTTAGCCCATGAGAGTGTAAGAGGCATAGCCATCATGATTTTCTCGAAATTTAGGGTAATTTCAGTTTTCCGACCACCTGCTCTCTGGACTGGCAGGAGGCGGCAGCCTCAGTCTTCTGGAATGGTCTCTCAGGAGACAGAGATAGAGGGTGCTGGCTGTGTTTGCCCTCTGCCCTGCCACTCAGAATATTGCCCATAAATAAATGAAAACAAAGGAAAATGAGAACCTGTTCACATATTCAAAGTGCAGTGGACCCATAGAGAATAACAGTACAGATGGAGATGACCGGGCCTCCTAGAGGCACATCTGAGGCACCTCTGCAGGTGGGAGCCCAGGGACAAATGCCCCTTCTGCCCTCCAACTCTTATGCCTCTGTCTTTTGAGCCAAAGCCTTGGGAGGAAGCACATCTGGTTTCCATACCACCTGTCAGTGTGGGTTATCCTTGAGACATTCCTTCATCCTGGTTCGCACAGACTCTCTGCCTCACCTTGGGGACCCAGATACCTTTCCCTAAGAGCTTTCTCAGAACACACTGAGAAGGCCTCGGCATCCCAGAAAAGCAGCCAGCGGGACTCATCAGCACAATGCCAGGATTTGTGCTGTGGGAGACAATTGAAAATCCGAGACAGAGTTGCTCTAGGGAAATAAAGCTGTATTCCTTGGACTCCTGAACTTGTGGACTGATAGACATTTAATTTCATCAGCGTGAGATTTGAGACAATGACGGCCATGTATGGAGTGCCCACCATGTGCCAGGCATTTTGCTAGGGTTTTTAAAACCCTATCTCCTAGTGACCCTCACAATGTCCTTGACCCACTTGGTCAGCCTCAGCCCAGCATCTCAGCTGACATCCCAGCAAGGCAGCAGATGAGCAAGCGCTTACATGGTGCTTGGTGTGTATCTGGTGCAGGTCTTTACAGAGTTCAACCCACAGCCTCCCAACACCTGTCCCGGGAGGCCAATGCATTGTCATCACCCCACTTTGCAGACCAGGAAAGCTGACAAACAGTAAAACATCGCTCCAGAGGCATCTGGGTCACTACTGCAATGTTACTAAGACTCTCGGAAAATGAAAGTAGAAGAAAAATTGTCTTCCCTTGGAAAACAGGTGGTCCAGATTGAAGGATCTGTTTGTTTGTTAAGCATCTTTGTTTGTTAAGCATCTACTGTATGCTAGGCATTGTACCCAGTGTTGTTAAACGGTGTTAAAAAGGACAGGCGAGTTTCCTTCCCACACTGAATTCATGGCTCATGGGGAAGACATGAGACCAAGCATACTGAGCGAGGTCATCACTGTGAGAGGGGAAGTGCTGGGCACAGAGGGAGCCCACAGCAGGTGTGCATGGCCCCATGTCGGGGAGAGCTAGGGAGAAAGCAGGTGGCCAGGGAGAGCTTCTTTGAGGAAGCAGTCTTCATCCTGGGACTTGAGGAATAGGCTAGTTGAAGAGGTGGCAACTGTGTTCTTGGCCCAGGGGAGAACACTTGGAAGGCCTAGAGGTGGGAAGCACACGTGGAGCTTGAGAGAGAATGTTCAGAACGACCAAAACAGAGTTTGTGTGGTGCCAGTGAGGGGAAAGGAGGCTTGGGAGGTTGGCGGAGGCAGATAGTGAAGGGTTGTGAGGAATTTGGGGAACTGGGCAGTGGGAGGCCAACAACAGGTTTTCCACAAGGACTCACTTGGTTGAATGTACAGGTTAGGATCACTCTGCCTATAGTGTAGAAGAGAGGGGGAAGGGAGGAGTGTGAGAGGCATGTAGAATGACCGCGAACAACCCAGTTCACACAGGTAAGTGAGGTAGGTGGCTTAGGTTGGAGTGCAGGTAGTTTAAGGGAGGGAAATGGATGTACCATGTTTTATAGGTAAAACTGATAGGGTTTTTTTCCTCATCGCTTGTGACCATCTATCTTGGTGGTGGATTAAACACATAGTTGACCCTTACTATTGCAGACTCCATGTTTGTGAATTTGCCTTCTTGCTGAAATTTATTTGTAATACCAAAATCAAGTTTTGAGGTGCTTTGGGGGTCATTTGCGTCACCCGATGCGTGCATTCCCAGCTGAGGAATTTGCGTCAGCAAATTTGCGCCAGCAAAGGATTTGCGTCACCCGATGCGTGCATTCCCAGCTGAGGTCAGACAAACGAGGCATCCCTCTGCCTCCTTGTTTCAACTTTCAGTGTAAACAGACATCCTCCTTGTGGTCCCTTTAGTGCTACTTTTGTGTGTGTATGTGTGCCTTTTTGGGTGACTTAGCTGTTTAGAATGCCCCCCCAGAGTAGCACTGCCTAGTGTTCTCAAGTATGAGAAGGCCGTGATGTGCCTTACAGAGGAAATACGTGTTAGATAAGCTTCATTCAGGCACAAGTTACAGTGCTATTGGCCATGAGTTTAAAGTCAATGAATCAATGAATCAGCAATACATACTGAATAAGATGTCTTTATTTTTTTTAAGATTTTATTTATTTATTTGATAGAGATCACAAGTAGGCAGAGAGGCAGGCAGAGAGAGAAGGGGGGAAGCAGGCTCCCTTCTGAGCAGAGAGCCCGACGCAGGACTCTATTCCAGGACCCTGAGATCATGACCTGAGCCTAAGGCAGAGGCTTTAACCCACTGAGCCACCCAAGTACCCCTGAATAAGATTCTTTAAACAGCAACACACATAAGATAAGGATATTTATTAATCAGCTGATGAAAATATTGTGACCAGAGGTTTGAAGAAACTGGGTTGGTTTTTTTTTTTTTTTCTTTTGGAAGGTTGGGGAGGTGGCTTTTCCTCTACCCTTCAGATTCTTCTGGCTGGTCTAAGAATTAAATTGACATGAGAATCAAATTTATGTACACAGGGAGAATCCACATAAACATGAGAGATTCCAAAGACAGGCAAAACTCGATATATAAGGAGAAGGGGGAAGGAGTCTGGGACTTCAAAGAAAAGGAGAGCAATTCATAAGAAGATGAAAAAGAGTAAATGTTAGGTAAACAAATGTTGGCTGGGCAACTCAGAAACAAGGAGAGAGAAGAATTTTAACAAACAGACTTTGCTAAATTCCTCCCTGTCTCCCACCCCTAGTTCATATTATAATGTAGTTATAATGGGATTGGGTCCTCTACCTAAATACTTATAGGCAGTTAGGGGGAAGATCAAAGTTTTTTCCTGGACCTTTTGGGTCTTGATTGTTTTCAGCTCAAAATAATCCACATGCCAAAATGGCATCTCTTAGGGGCATTCTTTGTGAAGACCTACAAAACCTAACCTTGGATTTCCTCTAGGAGCCATGGTTCAGTATTCATTATCTCGGTGCTTGAGGTCACTTTCTAGAACACAATTCCTGTGAATAACAAGAATCAACTATGCCTATATTTGTATGTGTGTATACGCACAATATACAACCAGAGTCTGGCCTGAGGTCTTTAAAGTGGAAAAGTAGAACACAGTGCAGAATGATACACATGAAATCTGAAGGAATTCAGGGTGGTAGAGTGTGAGTGTGCACATGGGTACAGCCATGTGCATGTGTGCGAGGTTAGATAGTCCCAACAAGCAACATGCCATCTTATGGGAGTCTCTGACTAAGGTTGGCCCCGTGGAGCATCCAGCAGGGCTTTGCAACGATGGTCCCCAAGAAGTAAGACCAGGGCCAGAGCTGGCCTGCTCCTATCAAAACCCCCTGAGGTGCTTTCAAGTGCAGATCCCTGGCCCCACTTCCAGAGAGCCTGGTGCAAAAGTCCAGCTCCACAGGGAGATCCCGATGGCAGCCGGGTTTGGGAAACCCTGCTCCAGAGTACCCCTGAGTCACTCAGAAGCACTCAAGAGTTTTCTACCTCCTGGCAACTTTAATTTCTGATGTTTCTACTTTCCAGACATGGAGATATATTTATGAACCACACTGAAAACTGGATTGGCTCTCAGTACAAGAAGGTGGTTTACAGAGAATACACTGATGGAGAATTTGTGGAGATCAAAGCCCGACCGCCACGAGAGAAACACCTGGAACTCTTGGGTATGGCATAGATTGCAGGCGTGCACTGCCAGCCCCAAGAGTGGCCTGAGAAGGCACAGCAGGGACAGAGCAGCCTGACTGCATTGATCCAAGTGTGACATCTTCCTGTCTTCCCATATAGTCAACCAGATGACCAGATAACACGCAAACAGCCATCCATATCACCAGGGTTGTCTAACCAACATCTGTCGCCCTCAAGTCCCTTTCTCATCCCTCTGCTAAGCCAGGACATTTTAACTTGGAATAATTTGATGCCTCAGAAGAGCAGGCAGAGTATTTGCATAATTTCTTCAAGGTCCTGGATTCTCTGTGCACAGAGCCATAAGAATGCACCATAAAAATAACTCCACCCAAAGAGAAACCCCTTACACGAGAGGAGCGCTAAGGGTGGAAGGCCTGGTTTGAGTTCAGAAGGCCCTGAACTTGGCCTTCTCAGGAACTCCTGGGCCTGTCGGAAATCCTGGGCTGCCTGACCTGGTGATCAGATAAGCTCTTCCAGTTCTCCTTCCCTGCTTTCACCTGGGAGTCACCAAACCTGACCCCATCGCAAAGATGAGATCTTTAGGCTGAGGGCTAATCTAGATGACTTTCTGAAATCCATTCCCCCCCACTTTATTTTCCTGTTCTCATTTTTAAATGCACAAGGTGACTTATATAAATAGTATGGCTTTACACAGTACTTCTTAATATTAAAAAAGGCACCGAGATAGCTAGCTTGATAAATTATTACATGCCCCACCCATCTTCCCCTCACTCTGGTCTATCAACATTGGCATGCGAGCTTGTTTGTGACACTGAAGAGTCAGCTGCAGTGATAACATTTTTTCCTTGGAGCTGTGTATGTCGAATGAGCTCCAGGAAAAAAGCTCACTGGTCCTGCCAACAAGAGTGGGTTGCCTCTCAGAAAGTCCCAGTTGGGGTCTGCTCAGTAAAATGACACAAAGCAGTGACACCATCAGGGGCAAGCCCAGCAGTGCTTCCCCCAGAAGAGCATGAGGCCCAACTGCTCATTTTCTGCAGCTCAGGGACAGGCCTGTGCCCCTGAAGTTCCAAAGGGCACAGGGTGGGCATCCCTTTGCTCCTTATGCTCCAGGTGACCTATCAGGCCCCAAATCAGAAGACATTCACTCTCGCCAGTACAGCAGGCCATGTGGAATGAAAGCAGTAATTAATGACAAATAATGATTTTAATACATGCATACACTTTCCCCTCTCTGGAACTATACCTAACTTTGCAGTTTTAAAAACATGCATTTCTTTTCTAGCTTTAGCGTGAAAAACAAAATAGCATTTTTCTCAGACCCTTCCTGATTCATACTAAATGTTTTCTCCCAAAGGTAAAAATAGTCCAACAAAATTCCAGATTTATTTAGGACTCTAGTGGTCTTCTCAGAAAAGCAACTAAAATGATGGGTTGAATTGGTGAAGAGTGGATGGGTACAGTCAGACCCCCTACCGTGAGCATACCTCTCTATGAAAGTAGAATCCTGAGAACACCCAAGGATGCAAAAAAATCCCCAAGGGCCATAGGATCAGGTCTGAGGTGATTCCAAAATGGGATTCTGTTAACATCGTCCTTGAAGCGATGCCACATGAAGATGCCGGTGTGTATGGCGCTCTGTTACTGTGGGGCAGGCACTGAGAAAACTGCTTTTATGCAAGAGGGAGAGGACCTTAGTGTAGGCAAGGGGCATTGAAGGCACATGCCTTTCTGGCAAGGGTGTGGGCCTATTTCTGCTGGCACGCAGGCTGGCTGCTTCCAACAGAAGCGTGCACGTGAGATTGCTGGGAAGAGCACGTCTCATCAAGGTATCCAGTGGCGTTGGACATGCATGAGTGAAATCATTGTATTGATCATAAATCAGTACATAGGTGTTTCAATTTTGGTCTTACCTTCAAATTTCTTTTATATACATACAATATTTCATTGGATTCTCATTATAGTTTTTATTATTGATATATCCACTTACCAGATAATGAGCAATTTCAGACTTGCCAAAGGTTACATACAGAAGGATTACAATGGAAAGTCACCATATCATGTGGATATGGCTTTTCCTGGAGACCGTCTCCTCAGCAGTAAAAATTTCAGCATTTATTGAGTACTTACTGTGTTTCAATGCCCTGAAATAAGCACCTTACATACATTATTTTATTTAATCCTTACTATATCTTTATGAGAAAGGTGATATTAAACCCATTTCATGGATGAGGAAATTGAATCAGGCAGGTTCCTTAGGCAAGGTCTCTCAAGTAAGTGAAGGAAGCAGGATTTGAACCCTGGTTGGTCCGACTGCCAAACCCTACATGAGTATTTCATAAGACATATATTGCCCTCTAAAGGAAGAAGCTACGGTTAGCTTTATTTTGCTAAAAACTAACTGCATATATATTACTTCAGTGTTGAAAAGAGCAATGATAATGCTCACAGGCTTATGCTTTGCCTTTAGGCCCAATGGTTCATGCTGAGGTGGGCGACTCCATCCTGATCATATTTAAGAACAAAGCCAACCGGCCCTACTCCATCTCAGCCCAAGGTATTGCAGACATGGACAGCGGAAAGCAGCTCCAAGCATCTGTCACAAAGCCAGGTAAGTTACATGGGAGATCTGCTCCATGCTGATAAGGACACTGGACTCAACTCTCTTCTGAACTTTTCTGATCTTTGAAGGCTCTTGGAAGGCTCATCTTAATGCCAACATGTTTCAGCCATCACATAGTCACTCTTAATATAGGATCATCATTCATCTAATGACCAAGTAGTTATGCTGTTTCTAGGCATCCATTAGGGACCTAAATGCGTTAAGACATAATAATAGCTGATACATATTGAATGTCATCTTTTGACAGGTGCTATGCTTTATATTTTTTAAAAAACAAAACAAATTTCATTTTCCTTACAATAGCCCAACAAGGTAGACACTAACATATGTCATTGACTCTGATACCATTGATTAGAATATCCATCATTATTCTTATCTGTTACTAAAAAAAAAAAAAAAAAAAAAAAAAAGAACACATGGCCAATTAGACTTTAGCATGCCGCTGATTGAAAGATGCATCTTGATTTGAGTTAAGTTAAAATGTAAAAAATGCACATCCTACAATTGAGGGAAATATGATATTGTTATGTCCATTTAACAGATGACTGAAGAACAGAGGGGTAAAGAACTTGACTGGGTCATACATTAGTAACAGTGAAACCTCAGTTTGTTGGACTTAGAACCTCTGCTCTTAGCCATATGTTTCTTTTGAGTTGCTTAAAATCAATTCGGAAGAAAAGAAGACAAGATAAATCATTTCAGTAGTAATGCAGATTATGCCTAATGAAATTCTAAGTGGTGAAGAGTTTCAAGAATGTATCTGGGAATGCTTACAAAAGTTTCAGAAAAGGAAAATCCATAAAGATTGATTGATTGATTGATTGATTCAGAGCAAGTAAAGTAGTATTTAGGGAAAGCTTTCTAGAAGAGGTGGAACTCTACCTGAGTTTTAAAATATATACTGAAGGGAGAGAAGGTCTCATACTTTAAAGAGCGTCCTGTAACATTTACACAGTTGAAATGTGGTTGTAGTAAATGTCAAGATCCTCTGTGACCTTCAGTTATGAAATTGAGAGCAATCATAACAATAATTAGAGGGTAATTATATTTGATTTTACTTCTCATATATATATATATGTATATATACATACATATATACAATACTAAATACTATAGTAATTGCAATAAAGGTCATATAAACCTGTAAAATGTTAAAGATGCATAGAAGGAAGAAAAGAAAACAATCTAATGCATCATGAGAAAAAATTAGCTAGATATTCCTACAAGGATGGGGTTGAGGAAAAGAAATCTTCACTGGCCACAATTCCATCCTCTCTTGCCGCTCCACACCCCACACTTCCCCCAATTCAGAAATCTGTCTTTTGCTGCTTCAAGAAATCTCTCATGAACATTCTAATGTCTGTCTATAGGGAGATACTCAAACACATTTTGGACTATCCTTCTGATGAACTATTACACAGCCATTAAATGATGTTTAAGAAGGTTTTAATGACATGGGAAAAACTTGCGGTATCATGTTAAGCAAAATACAGGTATAGAACAAAGGTTAAAAATGAAATAAACCAAAATGTTCATAATGATTGCATCTATGAGATAGTATTTTAAGTAATAGGGTGATGCTCCTTTCTACATCTTCACCTTGTTTGTACTTTCTACATTTTCTGTATTGGATGTCTCACTTTTATGAAGAAGGAACTGGTTTTAGTTGGGTCAAAAAAGCAGCTAAAGTTATTTGATGGCAAAAAGTAACTCAGGAGGGAGGAAGAAGGTGCCAGTCAGGCCTGGGGAAGGGCTCCGACAGGGCTGTGGGTCAGCTGGGGTGAGCCCTCACAGGCTGCTATGCCCTGATGGTGAGAACTGGCAAGGGACATAGTTCTTCTGTGCTGACTGGCCTTCTAAGTGTCCTTAATGGGGTTATGGGGGTAGAGGGAAGAATGATTAGAACATAGCAAAGGAGGCTTTTTCTCACTGGTACTTGGAGGGAGAGAATCCCCACAAGGGTCTCTGTCTGACAAGGTTGAAAGACTCAGGAGAGCCCAGAGATGGGGGTTGGGGGCAGGGTAGGAGGAAGAAATTAATTTCTTGCACAAAACCCAGACATGTTGGAGAATGGTTAATTCAGGCATGCATGAGATAAGCAAAGCAATCCCTCTCAAATTTCTTCTTCTCCTTTTCCTTCTTTTTCATGCGCCACTCAACATGCATGTCCTGAACATCTTCTTTTGTTTAGAACTGTGCTCCCCAGTGGGGTGAATAATGGATCATTCCAACCATAATAATACCTCCCCTTAGCCACTCGCATTGAGGACGCTAAATATCAGTGGTTTTTCTTGCAATTAACAAGGCAGAGGGGCTATTATGAAAGGTAATGGAAACTAGACCCAAGGTTATATTGCTAACCTACCGGTGGATCAGCAAATATGGAAGAGTGATATACAAGCATCATTTTTATTTTGCCTTGTGGCTTGCACTCAGCTATAGGCTGTATGTCCAGATGGGAAGGGATGGGACTTAGACAGTTCAAAAAGAGATAGCAATTTTAATTTATTTTTTTTATTAATTATTTTTATTAACATATAATGTATTATTTGCCCCAGGGGTACAGGTCTGTGAATTGTCAGGTTTACACACGACACAGCACTCACCATAAGACATACCCTCCGCAATGTCCATAACCCCACCATCCTTTCCATAACTCCCTCCCCCAAGCAACCCTCAGTTTGTTTTGTGAGATTAAGAGTCTCTTATGGGGGCACCTGGGTGGCTCAGTGGGTTAAGCCTCTCCCTTCGGCTCAGGTCATGATCTCAGGGCCCTGGGATCGAGCCCCGCATCGAGCCACGCATCGGGCTTACTGCTCAGCAGGGAGCCTGCTTCCCCCCCTCCTCTGCCTGCCTCTCTGCTTACTTGTGATCTCTATCTGTCAAATAAATAAAATATTTTTTAAAAAAAAGAGTCTCTTATGGTTTGTCTCCCTCTTGATCTCATCTTGTTTCATTTTTCCCTTCCCTATCCCACAAATGCCCCAGTCTGCCTCTCAAATTCCTCATATCAGGGAGATCATATGATAATTGTCTTTCTCTGACTGACTTATTTCAGTCAGCATAATACCCTCTAGCTCCATCCATGTTGTTGCAAATGGCAAGATTTCATTCTTTTGATGGCTGCATAGTATTCCAGTGTGTGTGTGTGTGTGTGTGTGTGTGTGTGTGTGTGTGTACACACCACAAGGAGATAGCACTTTAAATGTGGCTTTCATTTGAGACTTTTACAATGTGATTATCTTGCTAATGTATGTGAGTTTATTTGTGACTCCTCTGCAAGGCTCTGGGTCAGCCACAGGGGATGCATAGATGTGGTGCCTGGCATTCATTTGTTGTAGCATACGTATGAATGAACATTTATTAACTGCCTTCAATGTGAGGCACTAACCTAGGTATTTTATTTTATTTAATCTTAACAGCAATCTGAAAAGTGGGATGACTAATCCCCTTTACAAGTGAGGAGACTAAAGGTCAGTGAAGTTAAGTAGTTTGTCAAAAGTTAGACAAATAGGAAGTGATAGGGTTGAGATTTGGAACTAAGTCTCTCTGATTCTCTCCGGTTCTAAATAGATATCATGGGTCTGCACAATAGAATCAACTGAGAAGCTTTTTTAAAAAATACTGATGCCCTATTCCTAGACTCCAGATACTTTAATTTAATTGGTTTGCAATGAGACCTCAGCAGTAAGAGTTTATAAAGCTTCTTAGTGAGTCAATCAGAAATCAAGGCTGAGTCCCACAGTAACTCAAGTGTACTCAAGCCTAGCTCTTGGGAGGGAGATATGAAATTTGAGGAGAAAAAACAGTGAGGAATACAATAAGTTTTCATGTCTTGAGTAAACATCCGTTGATAACAGAAAGGTCAAATTAGAAAGAAATTTGTAGTCTGGAATGAAAAATCTGCCATTTTGCAAATTCAGAAAATCAAGATGTAGGTTTAATTGGAACATTTATAATGGATGAGTAATTCTCCCTAGCAATAAACATTAACCAAAATATATAAAGATCTGTTTGTTATTTCTTCAGGTAAAACATCTGAAACAAAGGTAACACTAATAAATTCTTTCTATTTCTTCTCATTTGCTTCAGGAGAAATAAACACGTACAGGTGGAATGTCCCTAAAAGATCTGGTCCAGGACCAAATGACCCAAATTGTATTCCATCAGTTTACTATTCAACAGTAAACTTTGTGAAGGTAAGACTGAGAAAGAAACCAAAATGCTTTAAGTAATATGGCTTTAAATCAATTATTCAAGTTTTCACAACTTGGATGAATATATGCGAAGAGTGTAATGGTTGAGAGCAGAAATTTCAAACTATGGCCATGCACATTTGTTAACATCGTCTATGGTTGAGTTGAGTGGTATTAAGAAAACAAAATTCAAATGAGTAGATTTTAGAGGTCTCGGGCTTTATTCAACAATTCATGATTTGGGCAGCTTCCTTTCTACAGATAGAAAGGATCTCTGAAGAACTGTACAAAATGAACGACTTGTATAGGCAGAAGGGGGCAAAACAAGGAAGTTACTAGCAAAGAGTGGATAGTTTATGGCAGGGTCACCTTCCTTTAAGGGATAGCAGGGGTCTGTCAAGCAGATTACCTCACTAGTGCTAGTGATTGACTAGTTTAAGATTCTGTTCCTGGGAGAGATTGAAACTGGAATTAACCTAGGAAGTAAGTCTTGGTTTGGTGATATGGGTTTAGCACAAGTGACTCCATTATGTACCTGTTGTCTTTTTTTTTTTTTAAGATTTTATTTATTCATTTGACAGACAGAGATCACAAGTAGGCAGAGGCAGGCAGAGAGAGAAGAGGAAGCAGGCTCCCTGCTGAGCAGAAAGTCCGATGTGGGGCTCGATCTCAGGACCCTGGGACTGTGACCTGAGCCGAAGGCAGAGGACTTAACCCACTAAGCCACCCAGGCACCCCTGTCATGATGCTTTTTGTTGAATCTCTGTGGTATTCATAGGTCACAGATTCGGGTTTACATTTCTTAAGTTGGTCATTCTCTTCATTCTTTTTTCAATGTTCCAGTCTTAGTGAGACCATTTGCTCATTTAGCAGCTATGAACGTGCATTTCAAGTTTTTGAGGGAATACAGTGCACCAGGGAGACTACTGTGATGATTATAAGCAGAACAATCCCCACTTTCTGGTGTGCACTTTGGAGCCAGGATCCCCAAGGCAAACCAATCAAAATAAAATGAGTCAAAGAAAGACCAGATTGAAGCAGTCACTTTCTAAAGCCAAGTGGCTTATTCAGTGGTTTTGTGTATCTGAGTTTCAACTTCCCAAGAAATGCTATCCAGGTGCAAGTGGTGGTGTCCACAGCACAAACACCTCCTTGTTCAGCTAAAAGATAATAAAAGGCTATCCTATGATCCAGGACAACTTTGGCCTTGCAAAGATGGGGACTGCTCGTGAGATCTTTTTGTGATTGGGGCTGATCTGATTCAGATAATCAGAAGAATGTAGGGGGGCAAATGTCTTATGATTTGTATATGCATTTGTGTTTAACTGAACAAAGTACAGTCATAACTAGAGAAAGGAAAAACAAAACATGGATATTCTGACCATAAAAGTTGGACTTTGTAAGTGATTCCTAAGTAGTGGTGGTGGGGGTCAATTAAGAATAAAAGAAAAACTGGTCAGAGGGTGGACCACAGGGTCTTTAGCATCATAGTCTTTGAAGACAAATCCAGCAGTCTGAAACCTTAACCCCACCTTAACAAGGGCCTGGAAGATATAGATGATGGTGTTATCTTTCCAGACCAATACCAGAGTAAAGGAAAGAAAAAGAAGGAAGAGTTTCATGTTTAGTTAAAGTATGAAGCTTTGATGTGGTATCTTGGTTGGAAACAGTCTACCTTAACATAGGCTATTTCTTTTCCTAGTCAATTTGATTTGGAAATCTCCAACGTTTGTACAGAACCAGATGACAGGTAGAGCCTTCTTCAGCTCAGTAATCAGGAGCACTTGATAAGCTCTTCCCTTGAGCCTCAGTCTTACAAAAATATCAGAGTACAATAATAACTCTCTGTGAATAATTAAAGACTTTAACATTATCCATGGTTAAAGGTATAATGAGAGTTCATTATCATGGAATTCACAAGGAAATTTGGTTATTTCTGTAACATACAACATTATAAAAATAATAACTGGAATTATACTGATAACATGATATTAGGATGTATCAAATTTCTAGGAATTTTACACAATTTCTAGAACATTTATAATATGTATCTGTACAAATATAATATAAAGAAGGCTTAACATTACTTCTTATTTCGTAATGTTTCCCATGTGATTTAATGTATCAAATTAGTGCAACATCTCTCTTCTAATAAGGAGAGAGAGGAAATCTTTTTTTTTTTAAGATCTATTTATTTACTTGAGAGGGAGAGAAGGTGAAAGGGGAGGGGCAGAGGGAAAACCCCAAGCAGACTCCCCACTGAGTGTGGAGCCTGATGCATGGCTCAGTCTCATGACCCTGAGATCACAACGTGAGCCACAACCAAGAGTCAGATGCTCAACTGTCTGAGCCACCCAGGTGTCCTAAGAACAAATCTTTTGAAATGTTCTAGGGACCCTCTCAAAATATCTTAAAAGTTGGTTCATGGCCAAAAAGACTCCATTTAAAATTTGATTTGGGGAAAGTTTCTCAAAAATATCAAAAGGTTAATACTTGGCCAGGGGCTCCTGGGTGGCTCCGTTGTTCAGAGTCTGCCCTCGGCTCAGGTCATGATCTCAGGTTCTCAGGATCGAGCCCCGTGTCAGGCTCCCTGCTAGACAGGAAGCCTGCTTCTCCCTCCACTCCCCCTGCTTGTGTCTCCTCTCTCGGTGTCTCTCTCTCTGTCAAATAAATAAATAAAATCTTAAAAAAAATACTTGGCTAAATAGGATCATAGTTTGCTGTGAAACAGTAAGTAGTTTTCCATTTAACCAGAGTCATAAGTCTGCACGAGGCAAATACAGAATGATAAATAGTTCTAAGAAAATCTTAGCTCTTTTCGTAGAGAAGACTCAGTTCTCTTACATATTTAATGTTGATAAAGACAACATTAAATATAGAATATTATTTTGGTAAGACAGAATCTTTGTTTTCTAGGCAGATTACTTCAAAGGTAAAACACATACACACACAACCATTACTATTGTTTATCAAGAGCAAACCAGTCATCCAAGAAAACTGTCTTTTTAACAGAGAGGAAACCAAATTCTAACTTCATACCAGTGTATTTTTTTTAAAGCGTGATTAACAAACTATTAGTTATAGGGTCAATATACTGACTCAACAATTCTATGTATCACTCAGTGCTCACCACAATAAGTACTAGTCACCACCTGTCACCTACAACATTATTACAATACTATTGTAATAATGTTTGTGATAATATGTATGTAACATTTCCTATGCTGTATTCTTCATCTCCTAGATTTATTTATTCTATAACTGGAATTTTGTTCCTCATAATCTCCTTCATCTAGTTCACCCAACCCCCCCCATTGCCTCTCTGACAACTACCAGTTTATTTTGTTTTTAAGGGTCTCAGTTTTTGTTTATTTGCTTATTTGTTCTTTGTTTCTTTCTCTGTTCATTTGTTTTATTTTTTAGATATTTTTTCTTACTTTCTAGAAGTGAAATCATATGATATTTTAATTTCTCTGACATATTTTTCTTAGCATATTACCCTCCAGTTTCATCCATATTGTCATAAATGACAAGGTCTCACAAATCTTTTTTACAGGCCTAGTTATGTGTGTGTGTGTGTGTGTGTGTGTGTGTATAAAATCGTCTTTATCCATTCATCTATAAATAGGAACTTGGGTTGCTTTCAAATCTTGACTATTGTGAATATGATTCAATAAACATAGGGGTGTATATATCTTTTTGATACCCAGTAGTGGAATTACTGGAACATATGGCATTTCTGGTTTTAATTATGAGGAACCTCCTTACTGTTTTCCACGGTGGCTGCACCAATTTACATTCCCACCAATGGTGCAAGAGAGTTCCTATTTCTCCACATCCTCACCAACACTTGTTATTTCTTATCTTTTTGATTCTAGCCCTTCTGACAGTTGTAAGGTGATATCTTGTCATTGTTTTCATTTGCATTTCCTTGATGACTAGTGATTTTGAACATCTTTCATGTGTCTGTAGTCCATCTGTATATCTTCTTTGGAAAAATGTCTACTCAAATCCTCTGCACATTTTAAAATTTGATTGTTTGCTTTTCGGTGTTGAGTTGTTTAAGTTCCTTATATATTTTTAATATTAACTCCTTATTAAAGATAATTTGCAAATATCTTCTCCCATTTAGTAGGTTGCCTTTTCATTTTGTTATTGGTTTCATTGATTGTACAAAAGCTTTTTATTTTGGTGTAATTCCAATTTTTTTTTTGCTTTTGTTCCTCTTACCTGAAAGATATACCTAGAAAAATGTGCTATGGCTAATGTCAGAGATTTTACTGCCTGTGCTCTCTTTAAGGATTTTTATGGGTTCATCTCACATTTAGGTCTTTAATCCATTTCAGTTCATTTTTGTGTGTGGAGTAAGAATGTTTCATTCTTTTGCATGTAGCTGTTCGGTTTTCCCAACACCATTTATTGAAGAGACTGTCTTTTCCCCATTGTATATCTTTCCCTCTTTTATCATAGATTAATTGATCATATAATCATAAGTTTATTTCTAGTCTCTCTATTCTGTTCTATTGATCTATGTCTCTATTTCTGTGCCAATATCATACTAGTTTGATTACTACAGCTTTGTAATATAGCATGAAATCTGGGATTGTGATATCTACAGTTTTGTTCTTTCTCAACATTTCTTTGATTTGTAGTATTTTGTGGTTACATACAGATTTTAGTTCATTTGTACTAGTTCTGTAAAAGATGCTATTAATATTTTGATAGAGATTGTGTTGAATCTGTAGATCGCTTTGGGTAGTATAGACATTTTAACAATATTTATTCTTCTAATCCATGAGCATGGAATACCTTTCCAGTTGTGTCATCCCTAGTTTCCTTCATCATTGCTTTATAGTTTTCAGAGTACAGGTCTTACACATCCTTGGTTAAATTTATTCCTAAATATTTTGCTCTTTTTTGGTACAATTGTAAATGGGATTATTTTCTTAATTTCTCTTTCTACTACTTCATTATTAGTGTATAGATATGCACCAGTTTTCTGT